GCCTTGCAAGTTAAATTTGCATGGTAATTCATCGCGCAAGTTGAACTTACATGGCCAAATTGTCCAGGGATAACTTGAACAGTCCATTATAGTGTGCAGGTTGAACTTGCATGCGCAAACCCTCATTCATTTTGAACTGGATTGCACATTTTGGTGCAAGTTCAGAGAAGCACTGCATCTAGGCCAGAATAATGATCGTATGCCTTCGGTTACTGGCACTTGCTTTATTTTCGAGACAGTATGTCAAACGCCACGAATTTAATTAGTTGATCGCCATTATGAATGAAACGAAGAAACTACTGCATGACGTCAAGTTGTCCATTATTAAAGAATCAGCAATAACTTTTGGAATGCCTGTATAAGCCTATTCATTAAAACACATATTTTTTATTTCCATTCATTAGTGTGAACACTTCTTTGACTCGTGGCATCGAGAGTTACACGGGGAATTATTGGCTACACATTTTCACCTTTTTTTAGATGCAACTTTCGCATTGGTATATTTCACGGGAGAGGCTGCCCCCCCCCCCCCCCCTGGCGCACCTAAGACTGAGTCAGGCGGGGCGCCAGGAAGTAATCATTTTCCCCCCTGATATCGCTCGGGTGGGGTTTAGGGCCCCCGCTTTGTTGCCCTACCACTCTGATGCTTTAGAAAAGATACGCCACTTATCTTGGCGTATCCTCACAACCTTTTCTTTCGTGCCCATTACCACGGGTTTGAAAGCGGATTAATTACACGAAAACCACAAGAGCCTTTGAAGAACAGAGAACTTTCACTCTCACTCGTTCCGCACTGAACAAGGTGAGAGAATGAGGCTGTCGGTGAAAGCAACAAGGATGAAGGTCCTTATCGTTTCCCCAAGTCCAGGCGCACTACCTGCATTCTCGATAATAATAAAAATTGTCTAACGTCCCTCATGAACTTGCATAAATGTCCATCGTCCATCCATCGGATAAGAAAGAATGCATGCGGTTTAACAAGCATAGGGAAAATCGGACGGATTCGATTTGCATGATATAATTTATGTGAGTTCAACTTGCATGGAAAAGCCAACTTCTATACGATACGTGGTATATACGTTGATACCTCATAACGAAGGTATCGATGCATGCAGGTATTGATACTTCCACAGAACCAGGACTAATCCTTTAACCCCCACCGACACAATCATAGACTTTCTCAGTCTCTGCCTGACTAACAACAACTTTCAGTTTAATGACAAACAATACCTTCAATTGCAAGGGATTTCTATAGGTTTCAAATGCAGAAGCAATTGACAAATAAGCAAAAATGGAGTTTTATCTACCGGGTGTTGCACATAGATAGCCTCCCCTACAGCCTAAACTATAGAAGTTAGGAAACTATTTTTAAAATATTTGGAATACTAGTTCAAATTTGAATCTACTCCATCCAATTTCTTTTTTTTTCCGGTGGTCTATTATGGTAAAAAAAAAAAACTTAAATTCAATGATCCCACCCGTGCCATTACGTTTCGAGCTCATGATGCCAGAGCTGAATTCGTTACCCGTTCATGGGTTTCGAAAAAGATTAAAAGTTCAGCTTCTGTCTGACGAAAGCCCTACTTTTCCAAGCTTTGATAGCACGGCAATTGCTGAGAGACTCAGGGATTGTTAATTTATCTGGAAATGCAGAATGGCCAGGAAACTCTCCAGATCAGAATGCGGCTGAGAACATGGGTTTCTCCTGACAGACCGAGATGTGGCTCATGCACATGGCGGGCAAGCAGCATGGATTCTCCCGGGAAGCCTTGCAAAGCGACATCGCCAGGGTGACGTCGAAAATGAATGCCCTTTCTCACGATATACGAGTTTCTTTCCTATTATTTTTAGGCTGTGGAGAGGGGGGGGGGGGGGGGGTGAAAAACCCGGTTCTTACGGGTTTCTTTCCTATTATTTTTGGGCTGGGGGGGGGGGGGGGGGGGGTGTGCAACACCCGGTTCATATGAATACAAGAAGTCTACAGATTCCTACTCCTACATCAGCCCTCCCATCCTCAAAAAAAAAATATTCCCTTCCTTTCAGCCTCGATACTCGGCTAAGGCGGATTTATGCATCTGAGAAATCCTTTCAAACCGCCTCCGTGAAAAGAAGGACACAAGATCTATCTCATTAGCGAGACTTCCCAATGATGTCATTGATTCGGTTTTTCAAAAGATAAAAATTATTGACCGTACAAATTTGCTCTAACCCAAAGTTATCCCTCCCGTTAACCCTCAACCTAAGTTATACCATCTTCCCCATTGAACAAGCATGGTTAGTCGAACCATCTTATAGAAGGCAACGTGAAGCGTTCAGAATTGGAATGTGGAAACCGATCTTGAATATCCTGACACCTCCCCCCCCCACCCTCATTCATTTATTTGTTTTTTTTTCCCATTCATTCTCTCATTAGCTTTTTTCGTCAGACGACCCAGTTCGCGCACTTTACTATTTTGCAATTTTTTTATTCTCTCACCTCTTCTCATTTCATTTCAATTAGTCACTGTTATAATGTTTATCTATTGCCTAGCCATGTTTTATATATTTAAGCACAATTTATTCATTCGACATTCTTTGTATTTTCCTTTTTTTTTACTAGGCTTTCCACTCCCCGAGGAAGGAGGCTTCACCACTTTTTAATAAATTTGATCTGGTCTGATTGTTCCCTGAGCTGCCGTTTTGCATCCATTCATTCATATCGTTTGACCATGAGCATTCTTTAAAACCCACTTAACTACTCTGCCGCAATTTGCAGTTGAGTCTGTCCCAATTTCTTTTTTAATAGTTGAAAGCAATTCCTGAGATTTATTATTGATTTATTTGCCATTTGGATTCATTCACCACTCGGAATATCAACGAAATTGGCCTCTGGATTTGGCACTTCATGTAGGTCCACTTGCCACTCAGGGTATAGATGTCGTTTCAGTGTTTGTGTGCTCGCATATTTTTTCGGCTTGGAAATCTGCGTTATATCACTTCCTTTGATAGGGGTCTTTTAACAGACACCATACCGTTCCGAACCAAAATTTGAAATTAATCGCCGCCACGGCATGGCCGTTTCAACGGTCTCAGGAAAATCCTTTCCACTCAAGGTACTACGGTTTACCTTAGATCTTAAGAGCCTGCACAAGAGAAACTGAGGAGGAAACGCCGTTGACCTCGTATTATGAGGAATTCTGCAATGTTCTCAATCTTGGATGAAATGAGGATTACTGTCTCATTGATTCTAGTACTCGTACTAGTACTAATTAGACAAAATTAGAGCGTAGGGGAGTCCACTCGTTTTAAACAAGAACTCGACTCCAAGAAGGTATGTTAGGCATTTATTGAAATTCAGTTCACGCGTTCCTAGGAGTGCCATAAAATCGTCAATTCATATCAAGTTTTCGTTGTCCGTCTCCATTTGACTGAAGCAAAAAAAAAATTATTTGAAAGCATCCCTAATAGTAAATTACATTGAATGAACATCGATTCAACGTTGGTTCAACGTCCGGTTGTTGAAACAACGTTGAGTCAATGTTATTTCAATGTTATGTGCTACCAGGGATCTCCCCCCAAGGCCATTTACCTCCAAAGTCAGAATTTTTCTGAACTTAGCATGCCAATAGTTACTTATGAATCAAATTTCAGGTTTCTCCCTTAGATGGATGATGGTTAGATGTAGCGTCAGTCAGTCACTAATCTTCGTTTAGATACAGGCTGAGTGAAAAGTCGCTGAACGAATTTGAACAGTTTTAACTCAGCAAGGAATGCATTATTTGCAAACGGTTGCTTGCATAGGAATGAGCGTGTACCAATTTAAAAAAATGCAACGTTGATGAAAAGGATTCATTTGGCGTAAAAAAATAACTGTAATTACTGACCATGATATTGAGCACCATCAAGCACGAGCACCGTCACCGAAGGAAAATTCCAGCGATCTTCTCAGTGGCGCGTTCCTTCAGTTCAACGATCGGGCGCGAATTGTCGGCAAATACCTGGTCTTTAAATAAAACCCCGCAGTTAGAAGTCGAGTCGAGTCAGTTCCGACCCGGCTTCAGAGCAAAACGACGCTTCAACTCGGAAAGATTTCTTTCACAGATAGAGAAGAAATTAACGATGGCGACAGATTCCTCCAAAGATATTTCATCGGTATGATCAGAAAATCATTTGGAGCAAAATTTGACAGAAAATAATCGCGAATTGGGCGTCCGTTGTAAATAACAATTTCATGTAGAAAATTTTCCTTTTCGCTTTGTGCAGGCTCATCTCTTTTCTTATTGGAATTTTCGTGAAAATGTCCATGTTGTTTCGGCACGCTCTTTTATATGCAAAAACCTATTGCCATCAATGCCTTCCTTGTTGAATTATAGCAGTTCAAAGTCGTCCAGTCACTTTTGACACTGTTTTGACATTTAAATGTTTCAAAAAGAATGTTATATTGCTTATGGTCATGATTACCTCAAGTGAAAATTTTATCTTTAAATTTTTTGTAGGGTGCTGATACATTATGACTTTTCCAGCCCCTTTTTTTCTACAGATATTTGGTTATCATTAACTGCCACGTTATTGTTCGTATCTTTTATCCCATGGCAGTCCCAACTTAAAATGTGGTGTATGCAAAACCAAAAGTCTCATAATAACATGGTAATTTTTGTATATAAAAAAAGAATAATAACATTATCCGTTAGTCAAACGCCAAAGGACAATAATTTTTCCTTTTGATATTTTTCCCCCCTAAGTCTTCGTGAAACACACACAAAATCAAATTACGTTAAATGAGCATAAAATAAATAACGCGTTCATTATCTCCTTACATTAATTAGTTCAAAACTCCTGAGCATTTCAGAGATGACTGCCTGACTTCCTCAAGGAAGATGAGCGTTCCCGTGGATTATTTTCTAAATGGATCACCCGGAACCCCTGATCGAAACGGGATGGGGGTCGGGTGAATGGCTCTGATGATTTCACATGGAATGACCCGTATCCCCTATGTTGCCAATCGGATGGAAACCGCGCAGACCTGCCTCGATTGTCGCCGATGAAGCCCGAGAATAAGCGCATATGCTTTAGGGTGGCGGCAAACCCACCCGCGACGGTTCGGTGGTTCTTCAAGGATAAGCCCCTCCAGGAATCCGGGCTCATCCGGATGATCCAGGATTGCCTCCCAGCCATGCCCACTGAAGAAAGCACTTGTGAGTATTTCACGGAAAGCAATTTCTATTAGTTCTTTTTCGAAGGAAGCCTAGGGCTCATGTCCAAACGCAACAGCAGACAAAAGCTGTTGCCAAAAGTAACAATCTATAGAGTTTTGAGGTTGTATATATTTTACTTAGTCATTAAGAATTTGCAGATGTGGACCGATGGAATGAAATATGTGCCTTGAAGTGCTTATTTTTCTCATTGCAAGCCTAATTCACAAGGCCCAGAATCGAACGTGGACATGATCAATTCCCATATCATTAATATCATAAATGATATATTTTTTTGGAATTTGAAATAATTCATTTTATCGATGAGCACCCTAACGTCCCATCATTATCGCTTCTCTCCGTCGTTCCTGAAGGCTGCGTTAGATCAGTCTTGGCGACGTACTCTCACAACGGAGTATACACGTTGATGGCAGAGAACGCCCTCGGGTGTGCGAACGGGTCCATGGATGCCCGGTTCACGCAGCCGGCAGATCTGGTCCAGGAGCGGGGACGCATGAAGTCCCATCACTTCCCTTTCCACGTACCAGGCTTCAAAGGAGGCAACCACTTCTACGAGCACCCGAGCAGCATCCCTTCGAAACCGATGATGGAACTACTTTGGGTCTGTGGATTGTGTGCATACACCTGCATGTGCGTGTGGTGTTTGAAATCGCGTTTTCGCGAGGCTTAAAACCGGAAAGATTTTTAAATGGTGTGAGAAATGTCATCGAATGAATTAAAAAGAAATGAAATAACAGTTCATTGCCGCAAAGGTAAATGTTTCCAAAATCGTGCTGCTCACGAGTCGCCAGTAAAAATTAACCAAAATTAGCTCGACATGTGCAAAGTAAGCAAATATGGTAGGAATCATGAAAGATCAGGGGAAAAGCGACACATTGTGGGAATAAAACAGTTTCATTTAATCCTGAACAAAAGTTGTCCCAACGAACGAATTACACAATCAATTAAGGATTTCTTCATTGAACACATTGTCCGTAACGGAGCCAGCATCAGTTTTCCCTTGCCTCAATCAATTAATTACCTGAATCTTCGATGAATCCTCTGAGTGAACTCGCGACCAGGCAATCAACATTTGCCCCAGCGTGAATGCAGACTCCGGAAGTAGCAATCCGACTCGATCCGATGTCTGTCCCCTTGACTTGTTTCCAGTCGCCGGCAAGCTCGACAACGAAATGCCGTCGACAGAGATGGACCTGGTATGCTGATCGGTATGCGTCCAGAAACTCTCGGCAGCGTGCGAACGCTGCCACGAAGCGAAGAAAATTTCCTCAACTATTGAGACTTTTGCGTTCGTGTCTCTCGTGATCATAAGCGGGCCGTTGCGAAGATCCTTCCCGAACGAGAGATTATGTATAATTATTACGAACGCAGCAATTATAATTGTACATAATAATAATAATAATAATAATTTATCATAATTTTGAGGTTTATGAAGTGCGGAAGAGGACTAGGAGGATTCAGCTTGTTGAGGAGTTCGACCGGAAAGTCGACCTGCCGATCGGGATCATCATCACCATCATCGTTCATCACAGTGTCGATACTGTGTGAGGAGTTCACATCTCGACTTCTAAATGAAACGAGAAGTCCTCGTTGCCCAAACGGATGTGCTCATTCTTGGGACACAGAACGGCTCGCTGCTCACTTGGGCATCGCAGACCCTATGCCGTTGCAGAAATAGCTCGTTCGACAAAATCATCGGAGATGAGATCGTCTGCACGGAAAGCGCAGATCGACCTTCGTTTATTCGTGGAAGCGTTTTGCTGCCCACTTCGAGCAACCATCGGGCCTAACGAATTTCGTTTGCAACAGCATGCCTGTTTCCTGCAAGCGTACCGTTTGACACAATGATCACAGCGGGCACATTTTAATGCAATTATCGACGATATGACCGCGAGATGCTCTGCGGACGACTGCCAACACTTGGCGAAATTCATCGCCCAGCAAAACTACTTGGCCAACAACAACAGACGGTCATCGTTGACGATTCTCGCGACGCCTGTTCGATCGTCGTCAGCGCTTCAACGGGCGCCATAGGCGCTTCGTGTCAAATGATGTCAGTAGTATCAAATAATTGGATGAATTATGTGCGATAAATGGCACGTTTAATGCGCGAGTAGATCCAATGGGAAATCGAAGGCCGTGTGACCTGGTATTAAAAGATAGCGGAATTGGAGCAATACAAGTTCATCCAACAATCATTTTAGTGCCACGAAAATGCAATGCCACGAAATATATGAATGAGCGTCATGAAAGGAATGTTTTACCAGTGCCACCTAACCCGCGGATGAAGAAACAGCGATGCTCTTTCCGCTACGAACTTTAACGCGCCTCTGCATTTAAATCGCTCAACCCGCTTCGTAAACGGAACGTTGAGCATACGATGGCTTCTGATTTTCATTTAGAGGGTCGATATCAAGAGGTTGTAGGCTGATCATAGTCAGGTGGTAGACCTCGTCGGATATTATGAAGCAGTATGAACTGTTACCGGGATTATTTTAAAAATCGTTGCACCGAAGGAAGAAAACGCCTTTGCGCTATGTTGCCTCAAAAACTGGCGAAAATAGCGCACGCGTTAACAACCTCATGTTGCTCTGCAGTTTACGCAGCCCTTCGCTGCATTCATTCCGCTCTCCTCTCGCCATTCACCTTCTCATATTACTCAGTGGTCAGTGCAGACCTGCGCCGTCTCTTGTTTTCGTTGCCTCCTGCTCTGCTTCCGTTCTGCATAGCACCACTTCCTAAGCTATTTAGAATACTAAGCTATTTAATCCATCCTCCCTAGCCTATGACCTGGAAAGGCGAAACGCTGTAGGCCAATCGGCCACATACCACGAGTATATTCTATTTTTTGGATTCTTTCCATTTTCTCGTCTGCAGATTGTCATCACCGCAGGGGAAATCATGAGGCAATTTAAGCTATCATCATATCATTTTACAAAGAAATAGTCTTTTTATAAATAGGAATTTCGAGCCATGTTCACAGCGAATTCTATTTCCTAGAGAATTCTTTATTTTTCTTGGTTCAATCTAATAATATAGGCGATCGTTACTGAGTGAGTGACTTAGTGACCGACGGTAATTCTAACCATGTTCGAGAAATTGTAGAAATCTGAAAATTAGCACAGGATTAGCACTATTTTCATGCAGAGTTCAGAAAAATTCCGACGTTGGAGGTAAATGCCATGGGTGCTAATTTTATTTTTGAGGGGACGTTTTCAGTAGATTTCTCTGCTTCAAGGCGCAATTTCTTCTCAAATTATTTTTGCTTCAGCGAAAAGGGCACATATAGAAGCCGACATTTTGTTTGCAAGTTCTTCTCTTGATAAAAATATAATTGAGATTTTCATTTGTGTGGTTAATTCCATCCGGCAAATTTTTTGGTGAGAATCATCTTCCAAATATATTTTCGCTGCAGGATGCTTCAACACGTCGAAACCCACGTTGTGCTTGCATAATAGAGCCTGTTGAGAATAAAAGTTTCACAATCTTTGTGCAATAGCTGCTTCCTAATTTTCTAAGGCAGCTAAAATTCCAAACTTTGTGGAAGATTAACCAATAAAATAAAAAATGATTAGTAAAGATGTTTTCCTATAAATTTCAAATGTGTCAGTCTTCTCTGACACATACTATAAACAGGTTGTCTATAATAAAAAATAACCTACAGTTTCGATGCTCAATATCTCCGTAACGGAAAGGCATATGAGAGTGAAAGTTAAGGGGGTGCACAGGGGATCATGGGATTTTATTTAATACTTTTTTGCAAAAGTTTTTGGTTTAGTTGTATGGTTCCAAGGCAAACTCTACAAATATTTCCGTACAAGCTAAAATGTCTCATTAAACGTGTCCAAGCGTTTGTTCGTTCCATGTGCACTTGTAGTAGATTCTTCGTCTATCAAACCTCTGATTTCAACGTCAATACTAGTATAAACAGGGGTTCACGACCTGCCTCCATGCGGCTTGTCCAAATTCAAACCGTCTCCTCGAACTTGTCGACCAAATTCTTCAGAGCTTGTCTCGAGCAGGGCCCCAAAATCAGGTTGTGTGTTGTGCGGTATTTTCGTAAGGCAACAACAGTATTACACTTGGTGTAGAAAAACTTTACATGTTCGCCTCTTTGGTTCTTAGCGAAATCATGACTATTCTATCTATGATCGAAAATTATTACATACTCTCTGTTGAGGTTTTATTACTACCAAGAGTGCCAAAGGGGGGGAAAATTTTCGCGAAACAAGCTGAAATAAAATCACATGTCCCCCTGAGTATCCCAGTAAAATTTTACTGTCCTATGCCTTTCCGTTCCGGAGATATTGAGCTTCAAAAGTGAAAGTTATTTCATGGACACCCTACCTCGTATAACTGACCTTTGGTAATCCCTTAGTTCTAGGGATTGAATAAACTTTTCCGTTCTTTTTTTGTGGTACAACCACTTAGGGCCCTTTTTTAAACCAACCTATTTCAAAATGTTTCCTCCCAAGTCACATAGAAATGGAAATGGAAACTTATGTTCTCAGGCATCTGTCCAGATGAATAATTAAGAAAGAGCCGTCATTTACAGATATATCCCTTTCGGGCAAAATGTTTGGGGATGTATTTTAAAAGAAATGTATTGTTCCAGTAATGAGACAGATGGAGAATACTAAAATTCCGTCAAGGGTATTTAAGAGAAATGATTTCTAAAATTAATTTCCAGATTTTTTAACTTCTATTTTATCGGAACATAATTATTTATGTGAGCATATATATGAAAAAATGTTCACCTTGCAACGATTTGAGCGGGTTCAAAAAGCTAAAATTAGATACAGAAGTACATCTCAGTACGACGATTTTAGAAATATAAAGATATCCGTTTGTTAATTTGTCAATGACGTCACATAACGGGAAATAATTTGACAGCAAAAATATGAAATATAACCCTAGGAATTCCATTAGGGTTGTCAAAAAAGGATCTTCAAAATGAATTAATCACTTTTCTAGGTAGTGAAACGTTGAAGGGGCAACCATAATGAGCGTGTTTGCTCGAAGAGCAAATGAACTGGCTATTAATTAAATGCAGCGTGTTCCAGAAACGTCTTCCCTTCCTTCCAACTTTGAACCCACATTTGAGAGCGTCCTGTGCTGCACATCAATTTAAAGCTATCTTCCTTCTGATATTTTCTGGTAAATTTATTTGATTTTGTTAGATGATGGATTACACTGTTGAAGAAAAGGCCGCATTCGAAGAAAAGGAATTCGGCCGCGTGGGCAATTAAAAACGAAAAGCATAAAAAGTACTTGTCACTTCCGGAAAGAATTTCACTATAAGACTATCAGCCTTTTTAAAATTACATTGAATAAATATCAACTACAGCGTCACGAGAATTCCTTTCGCCATAGTCCAAGATACCACCAATGATTTACCGCGATGAGGGCAGTTTCGTATCAGTTCTGAAGGCCAACGGTTTGAATGGATATGAATATTTCCTCTGGTGAGTCATAATGTCCTTAATTATTTAAAATGCTATATATTCCACCTTGAAATAGTGTATCTCTCATACTTTAAGCGTGTATGGATGGAAAAGATTAGCAATCGAACATTAAAAGGGGTTTTCTGGAGCACATACATATGACGACTCTTCCAGGAATTTCGTAGGAGCATTCAAAGAAATTTGAGTCCGTCCAACTCTCTGTTTCCCAAAAACTTGGGTATTCTTTATTTTCTGTGTTGTCCAGGGTTTATTTCCCGCGTTGAAATGGAGGACAATAATCTTCGATAAGTGAACTGACAAGGTTAATGAAATATTTCAGACATCCATTCTCTCAAATTCCCATAGCAACTCTCGAAGGAATCCGCAGCCTCGGGAGAACCATCCCAATAGACGCTTTGCAACCTTCCTTATCCTCAAAGGCCCCTTTACCCTTGATTTCATGGGTTCACACTCGAGGTTCAAAGGAATTTAGGACGGATGCAGTGCAACTAGATGCGAAAGCCAGTTGGACCTGTATTCTTTCAAGCGGGGAATCGCCAAGTATTCCTATGCCCAATCATGTTGAAAATTGTTTCACGGTTGAGTAACTCCAGACAAATGCAATGCAAATCTGTATCTCTTGAATCAACTTCAATTTTATATGTGTGACTGCAAAGACGAATCGTTCAAATTTGAGAAATATAATCCAATATGGAGCGTCTTGCACATTTTAAAACACAGGCTCAATCCCATAGGCTGTGAGCATTTGTCTGAATATCGATTTCAATGGCCGGCAGAATCCTGTTTATTCTTATACGGTGCATTGGATCAGAATTTAAATTTAATAGGATCAGAAGCGTAATACAGTCCTCCTGAATTGAGACCCTTCCCCCTCTTTATTCCGTCTGCGATCGATGAGGGAATTAATGAATCTTGAGGCCAAATATGGTGCTCTTCGTGTGCAGAAAAAATTAATATCAACGGAACGGCAACATTTAAGATGATTGTGCCTGGTCCAGACATTTAGGTTCACATTTCCCATCTCATATAAAGCATTAAACTCAAGAAAATTTTTGGAACCTTTTTAGGTTTTACGGATGACCAAAATTACATATTCCTGATGGAATATGCTCTTGGATTGCCTCTGAAGGATCTTTAGAAAATTAATTTCATTGAGCTAAAGCTATGTAAGAATTTAGACCTAGAAATACCTGCATAGAAGAAATGTAATGTAATGTGCTAAGTTCGAGGCGTTTTTTTTGCAGGTATGGGGATATCCATCGTAGCCACTCATAAGCGATGCCATGCTGATTTTTAGTTCTTCATCACCTTCTTGAGTTCTTGAGAGATGAACGGGATGCAAAATTATAGTAATCACACCTTTGGAGCATTAGAGAGACGAGATGTTGTCAATGAGGTGTAGTGCACCTAATTTCGAGAGGTGTGCCCCTAAGTTCGAGCATAGGTGTTCCTAATTTCGTTATGGTTTGTTCCAAGTTCAAAATGCTTGCATGGTGAATAAAGTAATTTACTGAATGTATTCTATTTGCTTCATGGTGGAGACAGATCCTATTGCGCAGAATAATTTTCTATTGGCTTAATTACAAATTACAGAAGCTGTTACTTTGAAATATTGGGGGATAATGTGGGAGAATTTTAAGAATTTTTTAAAAGAGATTTGTTCATTTTCAGCAAAGCCAATGTGCTGGTTTAGAACATTTTTTTCATTTTCACTGATTTTGGTCTAGTTTTACTCAGGAACCCCACTGATTGCACTCTTTCTTCCGTTGCAAATAAATAACGACTGAGCACACTGAGGAAATTACGTATGCCACACCTGCATCGGAATAATAAAATTAATGTTGTGTCTTTAATGAAGGTGAAAGAAAACACCATTCCAATGCGAGTACTTCTTAGGACACATTGTAAACGCATCCTTAAATTTTTTTAGGCATGTCTTGATGCGCTCAAATCTTGCAAAATTATTGAATATTCTTTCTCAGTAAATAATTATTCATGGATTGGGCAATATGCTCAATTGTTCTCATTCTGGAAGGCCTCAAGTACCCCCTCCTTATTAGTTCACCACTGAATTATACCCCTGAGGGGACCTATGGTGTCATTTGAAGCACAGTTGATGTGCATTCAAGCACAGTGAGGAGCATTTGAGAAAAGAAATTGCCACCTAGAGCATTTCCTGTTGCACGGAACACACAATGCCTCCTGATTATCAATATTGCTTGAGTTCTGCTATTAACTCTTGGCAAGAAGATTTTGCATCTATGTAGAGCATTCACATCCATCCACGATTAAACTTACATCCTCTCTTCTTATTTCAAGGGTGGCATTTTACATTTTTTCCTCAAATAAGTAAACCCATTTTTCGTATTGCGAAGGAAAACATCAACGAAAGGAACCAACGGACGATCTCTGAAAAGTTGAGCTCTTTTCTTATATTCATAGGTCGGACAGTCAAAAGCTCGTGTCTGTATCAAAATAAAAACCAGCCCTTCGAATTCATAACCCACCGGGTAAGGAATTTCTGTGGACAAACAACAAGGGCCGCGTCTCAGAAGACGCGGCCCCTAAGGGCACGCCCCTAATTGCCAGAAACATTCCTGTTATCCCCAGGGAACCTCAAGCATCCGACGTACGTCCTCCGTATGTGAGAATATACGATGGATGTTTGTCGGATGACTACCTGGCTCTATTCAGATAGAATAGAAGCAGAAAAAGACCCTTCCTTTTTTTGTTTGAATCCATGTAACGTCACGCCATGAAATCAAGAATACGGTATCACTGGTTTTTGCATAAATTTCATACATCACAGGAGGAGAAAATGAACAAGTGAAAACGTGTGCATGCGGCGTGTGACTAAGAGCCTGGGAAAAAAGAAATGTTGGCGGGGAGGGGACTTCCTTAATTACTTTTTTGCTGGGTTGAGATGGTCCTTTCAGTCGTAATAAGGTCTGCCTACGCAAAATGGTCTACTTTTCACATATGAGTGATATATAGCAAAGTACATTACTGTACTATTCGAGACAAGAGCAGACTTCACAAATGAATTTTAAAGAAATGTCACATCTGACAGTCACAAAATGGCCCTTGCTTTCTTTTCGGATTCTGTAATTATTGAATGACGCACTAATTTCAGACTTTCATTCAATCTATAGAATGAACATAACACTAAATTGATGACTCATACTATGTAATAAGTTCTTCGTTTGATAGAAAGATGAAAATTCTTACAGATATAGTTCTAGAAATGATGTCGAGAATATATTTAAATGCGGTGGATAGTATCCTGGGAGTCTACGTTTGAGATTGGGTGGGGGCATTTCAATATTTTTATGCATATGTATGGCTACCAGAAAGACTCATGAACAGTGCTTTTGAAGGGAATTTTGATAAAATAATGTAGATCTCACTGAATGAGTAGGATTCTGCTGTGTTTTATTTGTTGTCTCCTGATTGAATATACCCAAGAAAAGCAGACAAGGACTGCATCTTCTTTCACGAAAATAGATCGTTTACTTGTTCTAACTTGAAGTTTACTCTCCCATGGTATTTGTTGAATTTTCCAACATTTTTTCAAATTTTCTAAAGATTTTCTCTGGAAAAACTCCCCATCCGGGCTTCAAGACCTCAGCCTAAGTAAATGAGAGGTACATCCATGTTCCAGGCCCTGACCAGGCCCTTGAGTGACGGGGTCGAAAATGTGCTATCTCGAACTTAGGCATATAACACTACTTTTTTTTATTGCTTTGGGTGTTCTACCAGAATAAAGACAATAAATTCCCGACCGGCTGGTACGGTCTAAAGTAGATATACAAATCCGATTAAGAGTATTCCTGTCCTGTCCGAAAGCCATCATATTTCGATTGTAGCACTGTCATTTAGGTAAATAGCTTATAGACTAATATTTTCAGGCACAAATGCAATCGAAATACATGAACTAATGACAAAACAACCTCATACCGCAGCAGTTCTCAACCTGAAAACTCTTCTGAAGAGCCTCATCTAAAATGCAACACTCCTGACTTCAGCCTTAATAAAAGTGCATAAGAATATCCAATACAAATTAATTTAAATAACAATTTGACTCATATTGTGTTCTCCTGGTATGCAGTATTATTTAATAGAGTCAGTCATATTTAATATCAAGGAGTCATATTTAATATTTAGCATGAATGTCAAGATCAATATTGTTGATGCAATAAAAGGTGGATACTCCGTTTTTCTATCAGATATATGTGAAACTTTTCTTATTCTGCGTATTGCGAAAAAAGTTCAGGTTCCGTCCACGTAATACAATTGAACTGTTAGGTCACTTCAAATTTTGAGCTGCATCTTAATTTTTCTTGGAAGCTAATATCAGGCGCATCTGAGTAAAATTTTCAATATTAATCCTTTTTTAAATTACGATTTCGCCAAATGATGGTTCGAAATATACATGTCATGCACGAATTTCAGAGGTCCTGGCTTCGCTCATATTAATGCGAATGGAGATTCGCGGGTGTGAAGGGGTGCCGCTGACATCTCGCTGCCTGAGAATAGTGCCATTGGGCAGAGTAGGTGGAAAACCATAGTAGGAGTATAATCTCATTAAGGAATTATACCTATGAAAAAGGATTAGCTATCAGTCTATTCCCCTCTACAAGGGATAAATCCGAATAAAGGAAACTGAGATGATTTGGTCATACAGACAGCCTGGGTGAGGGGCAGTGTAGGCAGTCGATATAACCGACGGACAAGCACTTCCCGCTGGGGTTTTATATGACCAGATCTCAGATCTGTGAGATGTCCTCCTTTTTACTTGCAGGTGATGTTAATATCATGCTGCACGTCGTTCGTCGTGATAGGCATCCCCATCTTCGTCCTCCTCGGAATGAGACACTTCAGGAATCGATCTCCAAGGTGAGAAGCACGCATATGCGTCATGTCTGAGTCCTGCCGCAACTAGACGCTCCTATTGCAGTGAACTGATTTCTTCGAAGTTGCCAGCTTCCATTTTCTTCCAATGTTCTTTGTATCTCTCGTAATTTTCTTCTTTCTAATACGGGTTTTCTCCAACATGAGGAAATGAAGAAGGAAAGGAAATGAAAGCAAATATTCATGAATTTTCGGAGATTCTCCTGTTGGCATAAAATAAAAAAAGAAATTAAATAAATTTTCTTGAATAGACATAACGTGAAAGGCTTGCAGGAAATACTGTGAATCGCAACTGCAGCGAATAATGATTTTCTCTTTGCATTCTCCTCCAGATACGGGTTGGAGGTAATGCAGATGAAAAGGGAATACGTCCAACTGCGCCTCCTCAGGGCAGATCTCCAATGTGACTGGGACGACAAGAACGCGACGTCGATTGCGACGACGGACCCATCGCACCTCCCTCTCGTGGAGATCCCCTTGCATGCCTTGGAGTTGAAGCAAATCCTAGGGAAAGGGAACTTCGGCGAGGTTTATTTCGCCATTTACAATTTCATCCCAGAAGAAGGGAATGACCCGGAATCCTGTAAGGTCGCTGTAAGTGTTTTTGTGCTGAATGATTTCCATATCTCTAACACACGATTGGTGTAATAGGGGGATAGGCTATAGGTTCAATACTGGATTTTATTGCCATTGTGTTAAATATGAAAAGCAAGGGTGAAATTTTAATGAAATATATACGCTCATAAGAGTTGGTTAATGCCATGGAAGTTATTCATGGATATGGAGGTTTTGGTTAAGGAAAAGCAAATAATAATAATAATTGACGTCGTGTGAGGAGAACGGCTTAGGCCGATGTGTCCAGATAGTTTTTTTTACCTAATAAATACAAGTCTAACCGAGATTTCAGGCCTGAGCAAGACCTAGCTTAATTTGAAGTAACGATCTTTCGGCTCGAGTTTGTCTCTGGGTCGTAAATATTATTTCATTTTACTCACCGAACAAGGCATTTAGTTGCTTCGTTTTAGTGGCGTCTGGGGCGCGTCCTTGGAGAATGGAAAGATATAGACGTATCTACACTGTATGAAACCAATATTCTTTGGATTTCGGATTTGAATGGGGAAATAATTTCAATTCTTTGTATATGCTGCACGGAGGAGGGAAACGACCTTGCTTGAGTTCGGCCCGAACAACCTCTACGTTTAGTCTGCCGAAAGGTTTGTAGCCTCTAGGCAGACTCGCTAATCTGCGTTATGCTCTGCCATTGGAACGCATGGAAAACAGGATGAAAGGATGGGGACTGTTTCGGCTTAAGTATCCCAGTAGCTGTGTCTGGTCATGTAACATATCTGGATCATATTTGGTACGCAAATTACCAAAAACTTATGGGAGAGAGGACTAGGGTGTCTCGAAAGTAAAACAAGAAGAAATTGTCAGTGAGGGAATGCTCCAATGAAAATGAAATGAAAATAGAACCTCGGATTACTTTGAATCTGAGATGAATGCAATGAGTCCAGCACAATGTGTCGCTTCAGGGAGTCAATAAAGCCTACTGCATAGTAAGAGTTGAAACACTAATTTTTAAAACGTATGAAATAGATCGACTTTGTTCCGTTGCTGTGGCAATCTGACTCCAGTGGTGACCAATATTAGGTAGTGATTTTATTTTTGTAAATAAATTGAATATATATCGTGTGTCAACCAAGCATACCTCTCTGTGATTTGATTAAAAAAAAATATTCTCCTAAACGTTACTGTTTAATAGAATTGAATTCTATAATTGATTTCCTGATTTATATAGAGTCATTAGTTTAATTTAAAGTAGCCGAAACCTGCATCCCCAAAATTACACTGGGCTCTTCTCATCATTATTGAACAGGTGAAGTTCCCAAAGGAAGGGAACAGCGAAGAGCACAAACAGGATATCTACCGAGAGGCGCAGATGCTGGCGAAAATGCGACATCCCAATATCATCCGACTTCTTGGGATAGTTAGGAGCCAGACGATAGGGATCGTCTCCGAGTTCATGGCACTTGGTGACCTTAATGGCTTACTCAGGTATATTTCCGAGACGAATTCACTAGTGCTCTATTCCGAAAAGCTTGACAACGTTTTCTCCAAAGTAAAGGTGTTACCATGGATTGCAAGGAAAATATTATAAATACAAATTTCATTGCACATTGAGCATAAACCTAAGAAATTTTCTTAATCTAAAATAGTTACGCCTCTTCTGAGACGGATGGCCCTCATAAATATCCACCTGTTGCCACCGGAATTAAACGACAGGTGGAATACAGGGGGGAGAGGGTGAGACTTGAACTATGTACACTTTCCATTAGCGTGTATTTAGAATCAGGAGAATATCTCTTGTTTGGTGTATTCGGAACTTATGAGCGTATTTTCCTCGTACGAGGACATTTTTCTAGATGCAAATCCACCCTGAAGGTGGAAATTTTTTCCCGGGGTTAAACTCTCTGGAACCACGCAATACTTTTCTTTGAAGGATTTGCCTTAGAAGCCTTGGATTAATTGAATACGCATTTTTCTTAGCAGTTGGATGAAAAAAATACAAATTTTGTTCCGAAATATGCGTTTTAATTGACAGACTCGGCATTAAAAAATTAAAAATGCTGTTGTCAATCTTTCGCTCCATCTCATTAATTGCTCATTTTTGAGGAAATTGAAATTTAACAGGATTTTACGCGGAATGAAGCAAAAGGAACTTTTTAATGAGAAAGGCATGAGAGTCGCACTACGTACTTTTCCGTAGGAAACTAGGACCGAAATCAAAACATTTTGGAGTGGAGAGTGGGAGCGAGCCGCAGCTGGGTAAATTGGGACTGGAGGACTTGGTCCATGTTGCGATCCAGGTTGGGTCTGGTCTCAAGTACCTCACGGATCGACACTTCGTCCATCGGGACCTGGCAACGAGGAATTGCTTTGTCGGGGAGAACCTCACAGTCAAGATCGGGGACTTCGGCTTGTCTAGGGACGTCTATAGCTCCGACTATTACCGGGTTCGTGTCTTAGTCATCTAATGCTAAAACCACCCGTGGTGGTACAATCAGTTTTTCATTCCTATCTGGAGGAATGATAAATTGATTATCCGTCGTCCCAGTTGACGTTACGTTCATGTCGTCCGAGCCACATTGGAGATTGGCCTGGATAGGCCCTGCTGGACGTCGTCCCTTTTCTCTTGCATTCCCTCCCATTCCTTTATGGATGTGAATGCAAGGAGAAAATCAATATCCTCTGCAGTTGCTAATAACAGTATCGTCAGCAAGCCCTTCACGTTATGCCCGTCTTAGGAAATTCCTTCTTCGCTCTTTTCAATTTTCTGTATACAGGAGAATCTCATAAAACATTTTCTTAATATATATATATTTTTCATTTCCTTAGCTTCCTTACTACCTCATGCTGGAGAAAATGCCTCCATGATAAATGGAGTAAAATATGGGCGCCATCCTGTTATTTTTTGAATGTCTGAATAATATATCTCCACATCCCACAAAATCCATAGATCACTGCTAGCTAATATTTCAGTCTTACCTAATTTAATGAACTCAGCACAAAATCATTTCACACAATAAAACAAAATATTCTGGCACTGACACCAAGGCCGAAGGAGTCAAGAACCTGATATGACTCCGGCACGATATCCGGCTACCCTGGAGGAATGGACTGGGTCCATCACGCCGAGCATAAATTAAATGTAGCTAATTTCATTTTTTATGGCAAAATGTTGCCCTGAAAGCAACGAAAATAGCACATTTAGTCACCTACTTGTCAATATCTTTTGCATCTTTCCTCTGAAACTCCCCAGGAGTGACTACCGAGGGGAGAAAAAAAAATTCCGGAATGAAATTCACACCTCTGAAAAGCGAGATCCAGTGATTTCCACGACCCCGGGGGGAAATAGCTTCACATTTTCTGTAGCGATTTTATGTTGAGGAAGGAAGAAGAATACCAAACTTCGTTCCTGTTGATACTCTTAGAGATAAATATGAAACCGTTCAATTTAGTCGCAAGAAAGGGTTGAAAAAAAAGTGCGGAAGCTCACATTTTTTTACATTTTATCTGATTTTATTATATTATAGCCCATCTCGGGTGTTTTCGGAGGATATAGACCCGTTAGAAGATATTTATGGACTTGCCCAGTGAGATACGTGCCCTTGCCATCGTTGCGACGCACCATTTCGCTGTGAAACAGATTAGTTTTTGTTTATTTAAGTTAATTGTGTGGGCTTCAGGACCCTTCCCCGCGACTGCCGAATGTCGGGCTGGAGTTAAGCAGTATTCATGACGGCTTTTTCTTTCCTATCGAGTCCATATTATTCTTTATTGCAAAAAAACTGATGTTAGCAGAGGCCAGACTCGAATACTGTCCAGGAGTTCGGGTAAACCTAAGGTTATAGAGTCCCATGGAGAGGAGGGAAGGGAGACAGGGGAATAAAATAAAGGAATTGGGAAATTTTGATTTCACACAAATACATTGCAGGACCTCTCCTATCTTCGTTGCATTGTAGCCGTACCATATTATCAATTTCATCGTTCTCGCATACATTGACGGAGTTTATTTATTGCTGCTCATTTGTTTTCGTTTCCAAATTCATCGGCTGCATTTTTTCATGGTCATTTCAACAGCCGAATCGATCGCATGGTTCATCTCGAAAAAAACCGATAGCAACATAACTTGTTTGGGAAATACATCAGGTCAGAGTCGTACTTACCATGTGCAAAACGTCGTACGTGCCAGGTGTAACAGGAATCGTCACCCCACCATCTGTCGGCAACCGTTCAAATTCCCTCCTGTGATTGAGTGAATGTTTCTCTGCAGTTTGGGCACGGGAAGTCGTTGCTGCCGCTGAGGTGGATGCCTCCCGAAAGCATCATGTATCGCACTTTCAGCGTCCAATCCGACGTCTGGTCCTTCGGAGTCGTCCTCTGGGAGATCTTCTCGTACGGCAAACAGCCCTGGTTCGGATGCTCAAACGACGAGGTAAACCCGATTCATGTTTGGGTTCGACGGCAAAAGTAATATTAATTCGGCATGTGGGAAAGCGATTCGGGCAGAGCCCATGCATGAGCAGACGGAAGATGCAGCTACGGGAAAGCAAAATGTCCAGGAAAGGGAAAAATCATTGTCTAGTGGTCCAAAAATGCATTTTTCACAGGTTGTTCCTTAAATATCCCAAGTCTTTGTGTTGCGAAAGGAAGGGTGCTTATTAGAGAGAGATATATATTATGCTCCCAACTAAAACAGCTGCAGTTAAGAAAAGTTGTGATTTTAAAATTATTTAGATTGTGAACTTAACATTGATTCACACGCTCAAAGACACATTTGTAAACACGCTATATCAAAGGAACTGTGTTGAGGCAAATGTATTCAGGAGCCTGATGCAATTTGTCTTTTGGCATTCGAACCTTACCGTTTCTTGTTTGATTCCTGTACCATCTGCTGCCAAAATTGCCAAACGATTTTTTTTAAATAAACCCATCAAGACATGACTCACTTTACCGAAATACCACTTTTTACCAGTTAGTGGTAAAGTGGTACAGAAATGTATTCCTTCCTTCTACAAGTAATCTAAAAGAAAAGAGAGATTCTTTAAATAGAACTAATGAGTTTGATAGTGGTTTGAATAAAATCTCAGAAATCTATTCATGGTTCCGTAGAGCTCGATTGTCTTCATCTATCGGCATGCTTAATTGAACATGATTGCTTATTTACTTATTATAAATAATGTCATGTTTCGAGAATGATCCTTGCATGACGGAGGCGCTCGTCGTGGCTACATGCAATATCCGGCTGCGAGTAAAAAATTATACCAAACTTCGCACAGTGAACACTATTAGATATAACCAGCGCTCACCGAAATTTAATAAAGATTCATCGAGTGTAGCTTATTTTAAAATTCAATAGAGAGCTTTTCGGACAACCCTCCTATAAGAAGTCGATGGATCAGACTCTTTAACTTTCCCCTCCATCCTTCCAGACCTTTATCTTAGTGGATCACCCCCAATACGGGTTGTGACATAAATCCATCGTATTACCAACGAGGGTTCTATGGTGTCATTATAAACCTCGGACACGCGGGCGATCTGCTCGTGAGAATCTTTAATGTTAAGTCAAGTCAGAGCCGCCCACAAATGACCTGTTGTACATTTGCATAAATATACTACATGTATGGTTTTCATGCAGAAGACTATCTATGAATACATTACTGCATTCATAGTATGAATGCATTAATGAAATTTGGAGTATATTTTAAATGTCACCTGGAGTATGAAGGAGTACATAATGATAGTTTCAGTCATTATAATACTCCAAACTAGACCACACCCGCTTCCCGCGGGATCCGCTCCAGGGGTGACAGTATCAAAATACATGCATGTTTCCGTGTTAGGATGACTTCCGAATTGGACTAGGCCATTTCGATATCTCTCATCTTCGTCGTTCCGGTGAAACATTTCATCACACTGTTAGTTGACGTCGATGACTTTTTTCCCCCTAGTTCGGTGTCAAAGGCCAAAGAATGAGAACGGTAACCTATTCTTTGGAACGATGGGCCAGTAGGATTAAGAAAACTTTACGATCATTTTCTAACCCCACCGACCCATCGACCCCCAAATTAGGTTGATTTTCCTGCTTTTTCGGCCAAAAATAGAACGAATGCGACTCGCTCGATCAGTGCATGTTCTGTCTTCTCTGAGGTTAGTTAGTTTGGGCTTATAGCGAGAACCGAAAAGCACTGGTGAAACAGACTGATTGTCCAGCGTTCAGGTGATTCCGTTATTCTCTGGGGGAAATACGGGGCATAAGGCTTTCTGCTCCACATAAAACAGACGCTCCTGCCTCCGTTCGATGCAGCTAACCCCACGTTGAACGTGAGCGCGCAGGCCACTACTTGCTTGCATGGCCAACAATCGACACTTCCTAGCATTAAAATTACTACTTCTTTTCTAATCCTCCTCAGCTAAAACATGCACCTACGCAATCTACTCAGCTTGCGACTGATATAACTCATGTACCACTCGACGGGGGGTCCACTTCTCAAGTCTTTCTTTCAGGATTAATTTTTAATTATCAGTAAGAGAAGTTCATATTGTAATCAGATGTATAAGGTGTCGTTGAGATCCAAGAGAATGTTTTGTCCAATCCAAGCGTGAGCACTAAAGAAAAAAAGACTGCAAATTTAAATGAATTAATCTATAACATGTTATATTTTTTGTGGTCACCTACAGACCGTGACAATTAATATGATACCTTCTCACCTTCATATGACCTCTCCGATATAGTCATGTGCTTTTCGGCGCCATTCGCCAGATCTGCTTCGTGAGTAACAATTTTTCAACAGGCTCAAGGTTAATTTTTAATTTTAGCGAGAGAAAATACAAATCTTAGAGGAATAAAGTTGGAATTTCAAGGTGCCACGCTTTGGATCAATAATAGGATATGCGTTACGTCATCAGGGAGCCCTCAACTGGATGAATGCAATTTCTCAGCGAGTTCCGCCTCAAAGCATTCAAGTGAGACACCGTTGAAATTTGGAAAAACAGGGCATTGGATAAGAGTTGATTTTGAGCCGTACACGGGATGCGGATCAACTCCATTAGACCGACCAGGAATGCGGATCGGACGGGCAGCTCGGTCCGCAATAGCGTTTCTTGTTTGGTGGCAGTAAGTACGCTTTCACAGGGTCTTTTCCTCCAGCCGCTTGCAGCTGCTGGCAGACCGTTGTGACCTATGAGAGCACTGAACGGGGCAGCACGAATGTGACGTCATGGAATGGCTGGAAGCGTTAGCAAAAGCCGCCTAGAAAAAGAACAAACCCAGAGAACCCAGTTTTTACGCTTTCTTGGGCCAGAAAGCGAAGCAAGCTGATTGTTCGCTCGATCGGTCTGACACGACCCGCTGGTGGGGTCGAGTAGGATCACAATTCGAATCGGGCCAATCGAGTCGAATTCGAAAAATCGACCCCAGCGAGCCTCCGGCAGACAGACAGACAGACTGACACGGGACGTCAGCAATTATGTCGAAAGATCGCACCCGCGCTCACGGGATCCACTTCGGGTGTGACAAAATGTAAACAGACAAAGAATTCCGGGATGGGATGACTTCCGTGGTGGACCATCCGCAGAATGTTGCGAGGGATATATCGCATTAGAATGCTGTATGAATAGGTTACAGTGATACATGTTTCAGCTGTGAGAGTTGAGGTAAGAGAGTGTCATATTAATGTGTTGAAAAAATGGTTACGTTTTACGTGAGCATTCAGGAGCAAGGGTGTTCGGCGCCCCGCCCGGGCCATTGCGTCTGCTAGCTATGCTATGTCCTTCCCAGGAATGGGCATCGTACTCGAGTCAGGTTTTCTTACGCCCTTCTGGTCTAGTCTTCGTTATCCTCTTGAGGCCCTTCATCGCGCTGCACAGTTAGTCAGCTTCAATATTTTTTCATCCAGTTCGGTCAAAGAGCAAAGAGTGAGAAAGTCAACTTGTTTTAGGAAATGATGGATGAGTTGGGTTAGGAAAAGGTCGCGGCATTTGATGGCGATTACTTTCTAATCCAACTGCTCCATCATCCCCCAAATGAGGCTGACTTTCTCGCTCGTTCGTCCAAACATGGAAGGAATGCGGCTCGCTTCGTGTGCCTTCTTCCTGTTTTCTCTGAGGTTAGTTAGTTAGGGTATATAGCAAACACGCAAAATCACAGCTTGAAAAAGTTTGACGGTCAAGTATTTCTTTCGGGCATATGTCATGAGGACCGAAGGTAGGGGAGGGTGCCCGGACTGGACGAAAAAAAGGAAATGGGAAAAAATGGGCTTGAACCAGGGCGCTACCATTACACTACCGAATCCTGACATGCAATAAAAGTGCCTATCACTGCATATAAGGCTTTCGATTCCGACGAAAGCGGGCAGTCTCGCCCTCCGTTCAATGTGACTACACATTAAATTTACTACTGCTTTTCTCATCTTTCGCAGCTAAAATATGCACCAACGCAATCTATTTATCAAGAGCTTACTATTGATATATCACAGGCACTAATCGACGGGTCTTTTCCTCATGGATAATTGTTAATTAGCAAGAAGAAAAATGCAATTAGCAATCGGATGTAAAGGGCATCGTTGAGATCGAAGAGACGATCCAATAGAGGACACTAAAAAGGTAGCATCAAAGAAATAAAGAAATTAATTTTTAAAGTAATTAATCAATTAACACATTCGTTTTTTCTTCAAGATTTTAGACCACGACAATCAATATGGGACCACGTATTATTATATATGTGCGTATTATATATGTGGATAATAGAATATAGTTTTCTTATCATGGTCCCAGGAATATTCCCTTTCGTAGAATCGACATTTTTTGTAATTTAGAATATATTCGTTAGCCAGAGCCGTACGTAAAAATTAAAAATATAATGCACATTTTTCCTTCATTCAATTGGAAAAGGTCCTGCGGCTGGTTATCAGCGGGCAGGTGCAGCGCTGCCCTGAGAGCTGTCCTCGAAGCGTCTACAACATCATGCTAGCGACGTGGAAGACCAACCCCGAGAACCGCATACCGATTGGGAACGCCCTCGACTTCCTCCACGAGGTGAAGAGCAACATCAACATTTACCTGGAGATCCAGGCAGGCGTGGTGGATCTTGACATCCTGGAGCAACCCATATCATGAGAAATTGTACGAGAATGGAGTATTGATGCCATTGCAGACCAATCCAGTTTTGGAAATATTTTGATCCGTAAACTTTATTATTTTCTCGCTACTTGTAACTGTTGAAATTTATCCCCTGAAAGTGAAGCGTAAGTTGGCTAATTTTCCTGGAAATTCGACCTATTCAACACAGAATATTAGAAAAAGGCTAATTCTGTACTGAAAGAGTACAAATACTTGTCATGAGTACTGTATTCTTCTGTGGTTAACTTTTCATTTTGAGATGGACATTTGAGAAAGAAAGGAATACCTCCAGGTTCCCCTGTGTCCCATTATATTTTTCCTATGTTGTCGTATTTTCACAATAAATGAGCATGAATACAAAACGCTTTGACTAACGTGATCTCTGTAGTGCACAAGTTAAGTATGATATTTCACCAATACCCTTTGCACTTTAAATTGGTGAAACTTGAATACCACACCCCTATATGAAGGAGCGTCATTCACACCAAATCGCCTATGATACTCATGGGTCTCTTTCTTACTTTCTTCTTCTTTCTTCTTACTCTTTCTTACTCATTCTACAATTTGCGAAAGTTTAAAATCAATGCTTAATTTTAAAACGTCCTGCCATTCGAGAAAATCAGGTCAAGGTTTAAAAAGGAAAGGATCGATTTACACATTTCATGGATGTACGAAATTGTACCGATCAAATAAAAAAAGCCAATTATTATCAGGAAGCTAAAAGCTCCATAGGAACTATTGCTATGGTTATCAAAGTCATTCAAGAATAATTCGTACAGTATCCTAGAGTATGAAATAAAATTTAAAACGCCCTGCGAATCGATGTCATATTGTGGTTGGTGAAAAAAATGTTTGCATTTGAGAACTCTTACTTCATAAACATTCCTTAAAGGCCAGATGATGTTCCTTGAAACACTGTTGAGTTCTGTGTGTGTAAGGAGCTTATAACACTGAACTCGGTTTTCAAATTCAAGGCATACAGTATTTAGCAGTGGCACAGGCACCTAGCAGCCCGAAAAGGAAGAAAGCAACGCTGGGAGGAAAGCTGGGACTAGTCTCCTTCGCTGGTGTCTCCTGCACAGAATCGAACGTGCGACTTTCCATTTTTCTGTTACTTCCTTCAGAGAAGAGTGTATTTTCAACATAAAGGAGTGAGATCAGATCCTTAAAAATTAAAGCAAGAGTTGTTTGAAACATTTAAAACACATGACACTGGCCCATGAGGAAGAAGCTTAAAAAGTAACGAACAAGAACATTCATAGAAATCTGTTAATCGAAACGATAAAATTTGGTCAATTTTTGCATGTTGATTCACTTTCTTAAAGAGGAAAAGGCATCAACTGGAAATTTTAATTAATATCCGTCTCTCTCCGACCGTGCCGTTTCCCCTGGAAGGCGTCTGCAAAACCGGAAGACTGAGACGCGATTGATGGTTTGTGTGACATTGCATCGTCCAAACACATCGTCAACCTCCGTCTTCCACTTGACCGTGTGGAAGAGAACCCAGAACATCATAAACCCTCAGGACAATGCAGTGATTGTTGAGGGATTCACGCGCAATCGCGTGATAGTGCATGACCTCTCGAGGCCCGTTCACATCGTCCTTCGGCAGCCTCGCTGAAGGTGTGACGTAGGACTCTCATTCACATTGCCCGACGTCCACTTACTGAGAACCAATGATTAACGTCAGCAGACTGTCAGATTTCATCAATCTCAGTTCGATGCTGGAATGAAGATGGCAGCGTACATGAGACGAGCGCTATTGCTCCTCTACAATTGCTGCTGCAGGGAACAGTACAAGCGAACGCTTTGTAATGAGAGGTCGTAGGTGGCCACGCCTGATGAAGCTGAATTTTTTTTTCTACATTCTCAGGTGAAAATACGAATTCAATCCAAAAACTGTGTACGCCTAACCTAACGGTCTCGTTATCTTAGTCGACACATCCTAATTTTGAGCGTACGTTTAAACTAAGGTCTTATGTCAACATAGGCCAACGCTAAGCTACTCTTTCCTAAGTAATGCCTTCTCCCGTTCCGTTAAACGTAGGCCAACCTCAACATGATTTCTTGTGTATCCAGCTTGGCTAGACAAAGACTTGGCGGTCTACGCCTATTGTACACAAACTGGTGGTAGACCTGATATCGAAATGACTATTATAATAATTGCAGGAAGGTCATTTTTGAAACCTGAAGTGACATACTCAAACCTAAAGTTAATCGTATAGGCTTTGCTTTTTCAGATTTTCAGAGCTCTTGCTGCTCGCCATATCAACTGGCGTTCGTATTGGCTTTCCGTAAGTACGTCATCAACTCCTTATTGGCTATCTGTAACAAAAGTTTGACTGCTTCGATCTCCTTGCGTGGGTGCGCCGCAGCTGCGATGTTGACCAGGCTTCCACGTTCAGAAGCCTATGATTTTCCAACACATGGTTCGTCTGACATTAGAGCATTCGTAGCCTTTCGCCTTGAATCGAAAGGTGTTTCCGCGCCTTCCCTCAACCTTAATCACCTCCCCTAGTAAGTCGTCGCCATTGCATATTGATGAAGTCCGGCCCTGGCGCTTGGCTAGACAGCGCGGAGGAAGGAGAGAGGCGCATGAGCGAAGGAAAGGCCCTATAAGAACTAGGCAGAGCCACGATGCAGCCTCAGTTCCGGCTTCCTGCCCACATCGATCTGCACTGTTCTAAGTGTGCTCCGGTGTACCCGCGAAAGGTATACACTGAATCGGGCGGTTCCGTTGATTTTGGTGCCAAAAAAGCCTGGTCGAACACAAAGACGCTTAGACGACAGACGACTTCCTGTGAACCTAGGATGTGCCATAGTCCATAGAGCGACACACGTGAGCTACTCGATCGACAACATGTTAGTAAAAGGTGGCACACCGCTTTTACTAATATGATTACGTGTCTCTGAACAAATGCATTCCTCCATTGCTTATACAGCCCAAGGTCAGCATGAGAAAAAGGGATACTTTCGGGAATCCGAGATGAATATCATCCTGTTAAATGATCTATTGATGATCCTGTTAATTAAGCTTATAAAATGAACCTGATGAATAATTAAGCAACGGCAGATTAGTTGAGCTTATTTCGCTCTTTCTTGCCATCGTCCGCGAAGAAACTGAAGTACGTTGTTCACGGTCTTCATAACCTTTTGCTAGGGGGGATACAAGTATTAATACAAATTGAAAAATTGTACTATGAATATCAATTGAAACCTTTATTCAACCTTAATATAATAATGCATCAGTATTTTCCATAACCGCCATTAGCTTCACGTACAGCCCTCAAATGTTCAGGACATAATGTCAACATATTTTCAAAAAGGTGATTCATTTTCCTTTTCACGAGAAAAATATTTTTCGCAGGACAACCGCTCAGATCCAAGCTCACTAATTACTTAGTAATTTTTCCTTAAAGGATTCATTCCTCTCTTGTTACGGTAACGTCGTCTGATTTTCTTTCTGAAAGTGGCTTTCCCTGCCACTTTGAAATTATTTTTGCCACTCGATCAAAGTTTTTCTTTTCTTTCTCTTATTCCACTGTTCTGCATCACGATGTTTTTGCTCACTTCAGACAATTTTTCCGGCTGGTCGTCATCAAATTTCGTCAATCCAGATTCGCATCCTTTGTTTCAGCTGTCAGTAACTCCATCTGCCACTGCGGTTCAGTGGTGACATATTCACTTTCAATTGATAAACGTTGCGCCTGCTTCCCTTGCTTCTCGATAGGTGTATGCTCGAATACGTTGCCTTTCATCATCGTCAGCCACCCCAGCGATAATAATTTTTAATTTAAGAAATATAAAATGAGATTAAATTAGCTTTTAAAAATGCTTAACACTCAAATCTATTTGTATACTCCATAGTTGCTGTACCCCCCAGGAAAAGGTTATGCAAGACCCTAGATGTTATGAATAATTTTGAACTGCATTATTTGTATCGCCAGCTTTCAGGCTCAATGTACACAATACAAAATGGAGATTTCCCTTTCTCCAAGGTGTTCCTAAAAGAAACTGCAAATTACTTTTTTTGCAAGCATGATTGTAAATTTTATTCAATCAAGTAGATATTTCATAAAATGCATGTGAATAGAAGAAAGAAGCCCTTTGACAAATTTGAAGGAACCCCGGCAGCACATAACGATGGGCCCACATTTGCTTCGAGTGGGAGAAAGTGGGCCAACATTGCAGTTGGCTTTCCGTTATTGGCCCCACATTTGCTGCGGGTGGGGAAAAAAGGCCGAACATTGCAGTGGGGCTGCCCGTGTTGGCCACACATTGGCGATAGGGAGGCAGTCAACACTTGTAATGACTCAGGATGCGACATCTATCTCAATTATTTGAACAAAAAGCTTCCCACAACATATGCGAGATGGCGACGATGCGGCCGCTTTTTCATTGGGATGGAGTGGTTCATTAAATTAAGACCCCAGTATTTTTCTTGCAGTAATTGATCCATTTCCATAAAGAACGTGAATGAAGACATTCGAATTTCTCAGTTCACTTGTTTCAAGAGATTAAGCAGTCCAAACAAACTCTTGTTAATTGTGAGGAATCATGATTCAAATAGGGGCTTCACTTGATACGGGGAGGATAAAACAAGACTTCCTTTCTTTAATTGTAGAGGCTGCGTCTGTTTATTCTTTTGGAGGTTCGGGTGTGATTAAAGAAATTATCATCCCGGTCTTGCGGGACAAGCAGTTCCATACCCAAGTAACACAAGATATTCCAGCAACTTTTAGGAAATGTTGAAGAGCAATGTTGTATCTATGTGTAAATGTCCAAAACGTCAACGTTGCTCAAATGTTTCGAAGGAACATTGCATTTACGTTGCAAATCGTTACTTATTCATTACATATACGTTGCAGAAACGTTTCATGATTTATGTTGCTGTAATGTTGATTTAAAAAGTTTACGGAATTATTACATTACGGCATTACGGAAAAGCATAGGCTTCACTGGTCCTGAACTGGACCGATATTCGGCCAATATTGAATTATTAATTTCATCATTTCGTACCATATACTTTACCTCTCTACCCAGACATTCCCATCAACAGGACGAAGCCCGTACTTGTATAAACCCTACCCATGTATAATACAATATCTGTCTCATGTACAGGCAGGAGACATAGTACATTTTTGGAGGTGATCTTCCCCTGGATGTGCAAAATATGACACATTACAGGAAAAGGTCCGACCGTAATGTTCTATGGAAGGTTCCACGAAATTAGTCCTTTTCGTCGTTTAGTTCTCAGGATGAGGATGTGAATGATTGAGATAATAGACTCTCTACCATAATTTTATTGTCCTTTAGGATGTAATCGACGAGTTCTTGGAAAGGGTTTTTTTTGGCAATGAGTTTTTTTATCTTGACCCCATGAATCTGTCTCGAATATGAGGATAACAAGTGATGGAAGTGTCCTTGCTCATTGATTCTTATAATGAGACAATGCGAGACATCTGGCAAGGTACTAAGCATTCCTGTGCGGGACGATTCCAGGGAAAGGGAGAAGGGCACTTTTGTGTACTGTGAGAAAAGCAAGACCTACGTCTCCATCTCGTGGCAAGGAGGATAACTTTATAATTCCCTAAAACTTCCATGTTGTATTAGAATGTTGTCGCTACGTTGTCGATGTCAAGAGTGTCAACATTCTCTCAATTACATTCATAGAAGTGTCGCAGCAACATTCCAAGTGAAAACATTGAAGCAATGTTTTATCAATGTTGTACATCAACTTGCAACATAGAGCAACATGGGCTACATTTCGGAAACGTTTCATCAACATACTGTGTTACTTGGGATAGCTCTCTCCTCCCCCGAATAACTTATTGAGGTGCCATTGTTGGTTTGCTTTTATTTTGTCTCACCCTGTATGTTATCGATATTAGGTTTTGAAGAGAAGATGTTCTGACTTAGACAAAGTTAATATCGTTTACCTTTCGGTGGCCTCGCAGACGGAGAGGGAGGTGGAAGTGCGAGAGTAGCCAGAGGAGTTCCCGATGTGACATCGTACGGTGGTGGCCGTGATGAACTCGCTTCGGTTGTTCCGCTCCGGACGACAGAGGATGATATAAAGACGGGGGAAGAAGAGAAGCACCAGCGTGACCAGGCCGCTCAGGCTCATGCAATAGCACAGCGTGATCGTCGCCGTCAGGTGGTCGCTGCACAAATCAAACACAAGCGTTCGGTTTTTCCGTTGGAACTTCTATCGTTGCGGGTCGTCTACCTTATCCATCGCAGTCTCCCCAACATGCCAGATAGAATCAATAAGAGCTTTCGTTGTGCTACAATTTGTTCAATCCGGCGGATGGATTCAAAATATTTGAAGACATGATACATCACAGGCTTTCGTATGGCAACAGGCATTGGCAATACGTTGCGTACGAACTTTAATGATGAAAGATTTGATTGGAGGCCGTATGGGCGTGTCAAGTGCGAGAACCCCTGGCAAAATGTCTGTGCACGCACACGTGCAAGCAGATGTGTAGAAGAGATTTTGCGGTTGGAAGTAGATCAGTTAAATGATGCCCATACCCGCGCGGCTCTACGAACGCCAACGAGGATGTTACCTCGTAGATGCAGCACATTGAGGAATTAGAATTCAAGGGTGTCTTCGATTTTTATTCAAAATCTGTAGCATACCCAAATGAAATGACCAATGGATCATCTTTACTGGTTTTGGCACCCAAAACACATGCGAAGATATTGAGTCCTCCAAAAACGCTTATCACTGTTCCCTAAGCCTTTCCCGCTGATCGTCGGAAAAGCCGAACGTGTGGCGAAGAATGGAGAGGGCCTCGTTTTTCCTCATACTATTGATACTTGCAGCCAGACAATCTTCAGTGGTGGAAATGCACTGATTTCGCTCTCTTCTCATGGAATCCTTTTAGGCCTGGGCATATCTTCTCGAACGCCTTACCGGTCTTAAGTCTAGTAGAGACGTGTCCGACGCAGTAGTCGGGCACGTCTCGAGTAATTCGGCAAACGGTTGACACCTCCGTCGCATCATCTGCCTGCAAGGCTTGTGCTCACGACGGGAGTTTGGAACGTGCTGGTGAAGCCTGAATGATAGACCTTCGCGATCGTAAAATGGAGGAGTCGATTGATCTTCTTTCTTGTTAGCTTCGCTCGTGCCCTCAGTGGAATAATTAAGAAAGTGAAGCAAGCCGTCGCAGTGGGAAAGGGTGAACGTCCGCGATGCATGCATCACAATTCAGTCCGAGGTGCACGTATTAGTGCGACGTGGCCAAGGCAGAATTTTCCTTCTATTGTTTAGTAGTAATTTGTCACAGTATTGTTTAGATCAGTGACGAGCAACTTTTTCTGACTGGGTCGCAAGTGAACCTTTTAAGTTCCCGGCGGGCCGCATGTATTTTTTGTTTTGTTTTACTGAATCACAGGCTTTATGCCTGCTGAGTACCAAAATAATCCTACACCTGGCTTAGTAAACCAGGAACTAAAAAAGTAGATGCTAATTATATGCAAATAAAATAACTAATTTAGAATTAGTTATTTGCATATCATTATTAGAACAGAAATTAGAATTTCTCTCACTTTTTTACTGAGCAAAATACCAAGCAAGCCGCTTGCTAAGAGAGCAGTGATACACTGACCTAAAAGAGAGTGAGGAGATATTTGCTGCTGTGACGGAAATATAGCTTTGATGTTTTATTTCTTGCTTCCGTTTCTCCTGCGGTGGGCAAACGGAATCCTTGAGTGCACGTTTGCGCTCTACTCCGGATAGCAGATGACAGGAACATAAATATTCAGTTGGAAAATTGTGGGTTGCTCATCACTGGTTTAGATACTGAAGATGTTTACTATCAACAGTAGAAAAAATATCAGCTGCCTCATGGGGCAATAGAATTTTCGAAAAGACCCTGGTAGTACTGAATGATCCCATGGACTTCTCCGTTTGCATCCTAACGACTCCATATCACACTGCCAACCATATTTAGACATACTGGTTTTTTTTTTTTTGGACCTCCATGGGGACGTCCACATGAAAATTCCTGAAGATGTATCCCACTACACGATACCATTGACAAGAACTCTAGGTTTTCTGCAGACGCTACCCCATCGGCTTCATTACATCCGTCGAAAAGCTCGAAGTGTCCTTTGCGAGACCATTTCAGATCCAGTGAAAATGTTCAAACACAATTCTGAGAATATCCCGATGTCTTCTCCTTGGAATGGTCTAAGGATGTGTCCGTGGGGGACCCCATGGACCTTCCCATGACTTACGGGAATGTTGGACATTCTTGGAATGCATGCCAGGAATATCCTGGTCGTGTGGAATTTCCCACTCAAAGCCTCATTGAAAGATACCTCGCATGATTCCCCCCCCCGAACAGAGATGGGAGCAAAAGCTTATTTTTGTTTTTGTAAGGACTCATTGTCCCTGGTGGCAATGAGTCCCGTAGCTTGTGTGATGGAACGAATGGACACATCTGGCAACCATGCCCCAAGTTGTGTCTACACTCTCCATGCACTTCCATGACCTCCGTCCATCATATTGGAAGGAACACGTGTCCGGAATATGTAGTATCCTGCATTCTGCTATGAAAATCTTTGTCATAAGCGTGAAAGTATTCGTAAGCTATTCCCTGATGTCATTCCATCAGGTAACCAGTGACACTTTGACCACATCATGCATTGATGTTGAGTATATAGGTAATCGTGGTCCGTTAGTTTGCCCTGTCATCCTTGCTTCTAACTGGTCTAAGTCCTCTCTGCATTGGATCTCATGGACGTATGACTGCAGCTGCAGCTTCGTCCAGTCTTTCATCGAGGACTGACATTTGTGCCAGGCACTTCATCTTTGCCAGTCACCCTGACTAGACTTAGACATTCCACGTAGGCAACGGGTTCTCAGAAAAATCCCATAGTCGCCCCTATGACATCCCAACATCTCAGAGATGCCCCGGGGATGTCCTTTTGCTCATCCAATGCATGTCAATGTCCAATGATTGATAGCTTTATTCATTCATTCATGTACATTTATAGATGTCATGTACCCAGCCAGTCATTCATTCCATCATTCCTCTAGGCATTCGCTGACTTCATTTGCGGCTTTTTTCTTTTGCTAATTTAGTAAGAGTGATTTTTATGTGAATTCATTCAAGGGAATTCATTTGTCCCTTTCATTTTCAAACTGCTTTTTTTTCCAAACTGCTTGGACACGCGGGCATGAAACCGTAGGCTCGTTACTTTTCATGTGTCTGTCTTAAACAGCTCGTATGTGAACAATGCATCTCATGGAATGTCCACAGGATGTGCATGCATCATTCGACTGGCTTTATTCCACGCACATCCTGTGGACGTCCATATGATTCAGTTGGTCATGTAGTTGCGCGCCACAGGACATCCGAAGAACGACTTTGGGGGATATCCTGCTGACGTCCTGAATCAAACCATTTTGACGTGAATGGGATATCCTATAATGTTCACAGTATGCATTATTGTTCTTGTGGCAAGAGCAAGGGATGTCCGAGAGGACGACCTATCCCCAGTAGCATGGGATGTTCGCATGGAGCCTCCCACGTATTCATGGAACATCATATCCATGGCATCGCCTATATGGATCTTCAGGGGACGTTCGCATAAAACATCCTGATGAGTGTCCATTGAAGGACACCATTGACATAGTATTCCATATGTTCTTTTAGATCCTGGAACCGATGCGAGATGGCGCCTAAATCGCCTTTGGAGTGAGTTTTCTACGCTTTTCTGTAAGCAATCATTTCCCACAGCCAACTTTGAGTAAAATATTGGAATTCCTAAAAACATTTGCCTGAACACAGTCAAGAGAGACTCTACGTCTGGTCCAGAAATGGAGGAAGGATGGTTCAATTATAATGGAGATCTAATTTCATGTACCAAGTGTAAAAGCGAGTTCCGCCAGTTTACGCAATAACGAACATTATTCCGTATATTGCAGTTTAGGAAGTCTGATTTCTGGAAATAAGATTCCGGTGTGAAAGATATCACATCTTTAATCTCATCAGACAAGCGATTTTAGCGAGACAAGTACCTGACGTGTAATAGATTATATCACAAAAGGATTTATCTCTAGCGAGAGATAACAGCCCGTCGGGAAACTATAGAGGGAAGGTGCTACTCCCGGAGAACTCGCTCAGGATTGATTCTGAATGAATCTATAAGATGTACAAAGGTTCTGCAAGTTATTCCATTGGACTTTCTTGGATGTGCTCATGGGGCATAGTCATAAAACGAAAGATTTTCACATTTTTAGCAAGCCACAGACAAGCACACACCAGACAACAATGTAGACTCTCCAAGTCTTTAAGACACGAGTGTTTACAAGCGAAACGCTTCATACGTTTCCGACGGCCTCCTGAAAATTGTGACAGTATAAGAGACCCCTTAGAGGACTTGCATACCGTGCGACATGTCTGAGACCAGAGAATCCAGAGTTTCGATCCAACTACAGGAATCGGACCGACGGAAGTGAAGTGATGTTTCCGTCGACTGTAGGATCGTGAAGACCCTCTACTTTTTTAACGTCTCTAGCGAACGTGCGACGTAAGAAAGATGGAAGTCCGTACCTGTTGAAGTAGATGGGGATAAAGGCGATCCAGATGACGACAGTAGTATAGACGGAGAAGCCGATGAACTTGGCCTCGTTGTAGTTCTCTGGGACGTTCCGGGTCTTCATGGCGTAGATGGTGGACAGGCCCAGGAGGAAGAAGTCGAAGCACAGAGGCGCCATCATCCCCCACGTCGTTGTGTTACACACCTTCAATAGAATCGTCGATTTTTTCCCCTCCTTTTAGCGATCGCGTTCCGAGAAGAGAGTACATTGCCAGAACGCCGTCCGGACGTTCTGAGGAAATAAAAGTGAGGGAACGGAAGAAAGGGAGCACCATCGAAATCCTGTCTGAATTCCTTGCCTTAACACGTATAAGCCTTTTGAAACGCTTTCGTTTGTATTACGGGCTTTATCCACAGGAGAGTTCTACATGTATTTTGACTGCCACGGGAACTGGACTTAGGTTGGATATGGGTTCCAGGTAGCTCTGCCTTATCCTCTCATCCTGCCTTCAATACTTCTTTTGTTGCTCTCTAGAAAACGAACTATGAAACGGCGCTGCGAAAAAGGCTAATAATCCTGGGCATAGACGCAACGTCTTGGGTGAAGGGAACCACGTGCTTCCCCTTCTTCCTTGCAGGCCTCCTTAATCCATCATTCGAGTTCTTTTCTACATTCGTTTGTACATCATGGAAATCCTAAGGCCTGAATGCAGAAACCTCATAAGGAGAAGATAAAGGGACCTTTAAACTAAAGTGCTATTTTCCTCCTCGGATTCTTATGTTCATAGATTCTTAAGGGACCGTTAACTAAAGGAGGTTTCAGCATTCGGACCTAAGCCATTTTCATTTTATAGCCATTTTCACTTCTCAACTCCATTAGCGGCGTCGGCTATTCTAACTTCCGTAAGGTCCATTGGTGGAGCGTTCTATGTTCTATGTTCCCATTTGCACCAGACAACAAAAAATTCCCTCCGGCCAAAACTATAGTCCCTTCATTCATTCAAAAATGATTACAAGGCTGGGCGACGCAAAAAAAGTCCTTCGGTAGTACACCCTGGTCTCTTCGAATCGATTCAATAGGATCTCGGCGAGTATCCTTGTGTTCCTCGTTTCTCCACTTCTCCCCTCCATGCTAACTTTATGATCCCAAGATTTATATTACAAACATTTATATTTCCTGGAAAGTAAAAATTCAGTAGTGTATTTTGCTTGAAAGACCCAGCCGTGTTTATGATTCGGACGTCGATCGACACGAGGAGCGCGAAGAACGAAGGATTCGTGGAAGAACTCACAAGGATGACCCTGTCTTTGGAAGGATAATGGGGTTCATCTTTGGGGGGCTCCAGGACGAGCATCGTCACCACGATTCCCACTTCCACCCCGATTAATATCAGGGTTATCAGCACCTGCGTAGGGGAGAAGAGATGTACGACACAAAGAACGAGACAGCTGAAGCGCTGATTCCTCCTTCGTAACGGGATTCGTTCGGTAACCCGGCTAGTTTCGTGTGCAAAACTTAATACTGTATAGGCGTGGAAGAGGCTAGGAGTCTGACGCTCAACCGACAAAACCTACGACGCATCCGCGTTTTTAGTGGGTGGATATCCAATAACACGATTTCTTACTATGGTTCAGCTTGCAAATGCGGTAGTTTGATTTTCGTCCTAGAATTAATGGCATCAAAGGTGTAAATCCGGATTCAGCTGGGGATTTGAGGAGTGGGGCTCGGACAATGAAATGATGGAGGTGATGGACCACACATCTCAATGCAATTCTCTATTTCTATGTGAAAGTAGTGTGCCTGCTGTACATTTATCTAAAGCTTTTCTTTTCATGTTTTTTCACACAAATCAAAGCTTAACGCATGAAAAAAAATTCGTATCAATCATTCATCCCAATTCCCTATTTCTGTACTCATACCTAACTGTGGCTCCCGGAAAGAACATCGCGAGGCGATAACATCGCACAGTGGAGACATCGCACGGCGATAACATCGCGTGGGGTCCTCTAGGCTTGAAAGCCTGCGAGCAAAAAGTGAAGCTTCACTTCAGTTGGTTCTTTGCTGTCGTTGGGAGCAGACGAGTTTCGTCTCGTTTTTTCAGTCATGTGGATTTCAAGCAAGTGAATTTTAACTTAAGGTAAGTGATTTAATTTAGCTTGGGCTACTGCCCAGGTAGCACATAACATTGATTCAACATTGATTTGGTGTGGATCGAATGTTTCACTGTTGAAGGTTTATACTTCTATGTTGAATCAACATTGATTCAACGCGGTGACCATCACCGTTTATACTTCCACATTGACTCAACATTGACTCAATGCTGCACTATTCACGGTGGAAGTGTCAACATTAAATCAGCTGCGATTCAATGGATTCTTTTGGAGTTAAATAAACCCTTGTTTTTTTACTATCTACCCTCAGGATTTGTTTTTGTACTTCATCATGGTTCGTTGAATAGTTTAGTCAATCGCCCAGAATACATTACGATCGCGAAAAATGCTTGATTTGGGCAGATAAGAAGGTGGCTGAAATGACGCCTGGCCTAAAGTCTATCGCAGCAAACAAGCAAAAAGAAAAAGAAATTCTCGCGAGCATCTTACATGGTGGAATTGTCTCAATACAAACGTAAAATCAGAAAAAGGAGATTCAATAAAAATCATATATATAATATGTGTGTGTGTGTGTTTTAAAGCCAATTAATCGATTGACTTGGACATGCTGAAATCTAGGCATTTACCTTACAAATGAATGAAAGTGCATTTGTGAGGCTGGATCGGTGTGACCCATCCTATATATTAAAAACGCAATGAAGCTGCGTTCGTGCATATGAAGCGTCCGATGCTTGGGGTCTGTGCATCTCCGCAAGTCTATGTGCGCATGTGCGGCGCCTTCTGCCTGCCAAAGGGTGTACGTCTCCTTCTCTTGGACTAGCACTTTTTTTTCGAGGCCTTTGCGACTGTCGGATCTATTCTCGAGAACGTTATAGCCCGAGGGGGATGGGGGAAGAGTTCGGGTAGCATAAAACGGCAAGAAAACAAAATGGCACAATCGGGAATCGAACCCTGGACTTCTTGATTCAGTAAGCAAAGGTGTTACCCCGAAACTCGAATCTAATATTTCTTTACATGTCATCCCTAGTACTACAATGGGAGAGAGAGGCATTCTACGAACCACCCTCGCATTCAAACGCGTACTGGGTTCGATCTCCGTTGAAGACGAAATTTATCAAAAATAAATTGGCGTTGGCAGGGGTTAAAATCGGAATGCGAACAGTAAGTTGAGGGTGACGACCTCAGCTTCCCGCACAAACGCTGCCAGCAGCAGGCGTTACAAAGAAACCTCACATACCGACATACATATACTGAAGAAGTATAGGAAATGGGTAGGGAGTCCGGGGAGCCGAAAGGTGAGCCGACAAATTGGGTCATGCAGGTCTGAGCTTCGAAGTAGTAATAAGTGGAGTAGCTGTAGCCTTAATCGTGGTGGTGGCTGATGTGTACACACTCCTTGGTACCGAGGTACAAATGGTCCATGTACTCCCCTGAACCGAATTCCGCAAGGATATTGTAGGCTGTAGGCCAGGTGCAACTCGATTGGTGTAATTGGTCATTTAAAAAAAGTATCCGATTTTTTATGTTACGATGTATTGTTGCGAAATTTTGTCGTCTCTGTCTCCTCGGAAACCGAATTCCTGATTTGATTAAATATAATCAAGGGGGTATCAAGCTGGGTATTTATGTAGGTCATAAGGGGCATGGTGTAGGAGAAGTGACGTGACGACACTAGTTAGATATATTCTAATTAAGCTGTAACTGTTAAGGCTGCTGAAATAATTCCTGTTTTCTTAATTGATAATGTGAAAATGAACTTTCAATATAGAATCAATGTTGACAGGCAACGTGGTTTCAACGTTAGCTGCGTTGACGAAATGACGTTGAATCAACGTTGATTCAACGTGAGTGTGCTACTTGGGTGTTATCTGTAAACGATGTGTAAGCTTAGGCCTACTCGGAACGGAGCTTACCCGAGGTACCAATTGCGTGGTTATTGCTAGTTGAGAACTTAATCCAATACACCGCCACAGCAATGGCCACAGCCATCCAATACACCGCCACAGCAAATGTAACAATTAAATGCGTTTTTTTGTTAATTTTTTATTATCATAGATGTCATTCATTGTGTCTGTCAGTCAACAGGGGAAGCAAATCCTCACTGACTACGGACCGGCCCGAGTAGGCTTACGCTTACACCTTGTTTACAGGTAATAGTAACCCAAACTAAATTAAATTACTTACCTTAAATTAAAATTCACTTGTGTGAAATCCACATGACTGAAAAAACGAGACGAAACTCGTCTGCTCCCAACGACAGCAAAGAACCGACTGAAGTGAAGCTTCACTTTTTGCTCGCAGGCTTTCAAGCCTAGAGGTCCCCACGCGATGTTATCGCCGTGTGATGTTTTACTCACTATGTTCTTTCTGCACACCTCTAGGAGTTGGTCACAGAGAAAAGAAACGGGTGGAGAGAATTATTTTATTTTAGATTCTATCGATGGGTTCACAGGCCTTTCACTTCCTCATCGATGTCCTTCAACGATCATTACGAATCCGTCTAGATAATTGCATGAATAAAATACACCCAATTCTCTTTGGCCAGTCGAAGAGTTCCACGATGCTTTCGAAGGGAGCATCGCGATCATTCTGATGCTTATCATTTTAAAATAGAACCGTCGAATTTGAGCTGTCATGCCTAATAAACTTCCCGGCTCTTCCGAATCCTCCAGCCCGGAAACCTGTCTTTACTTGCAGGACATGTAGAGGACATGACAAAGAGCAGTGTTCTTTCACATTTAACCCTTTGAAACACAAATGTTTACAGCTTTTCTGGAAAGCGGCGAAAATTGTAATAGAGACTCGGTAGGGGTTAAATAGAAGAACTAAGGTGCAAAAAAATTAATTCAATTTTCTAGTACTGAATATAGGGTGTTTACAGTTAGCAATCCCCATGGTATGAAATCAAGCAACACATTCATTTCTGATGGTACAGGTTAAAGCAGCTTTTGAGAGATAATATGTAGAGACCAACCTTACATTAGCGCATCCATTTGGTGCGGTGTGGATCAGTTTTAATGCTACTGAACAGAAACGTAAAAAAGAAATTCACCAGATATCCTGAAAGAGGCGCCAGACTCCAAAAATTTTCCTTGCTTTATACGGCTTCTCATTTAACTTTCATGCCACCTGTCACATCCCTCGCTTTGTTTACTCAAGTGGGAGATTTTCTACGTGCTATATGGCTCTCGAGTGATACAAAAGTAGAATACATTTTAAAGGGAATATCTCAAGAATGACGAGGATGCGCGTTTATGTTACATCTGCTGGAATAGACGGACGGATACGCGAGGACTTCAAAAAGATCAGAATGAGACAGTGTATCACTGATAAGATGTGGATTCCATTGGTTCCGTTGTAAACCGTTTGGGAAGCAATCCTTCCCTTCTCTTTGTTGAGTGAATCTCTTCGATGAAGCCTGCCTCAAGTCCCTCACCGATTGAAATTCGTTTTTGAGGTGAATCGCCGAGGAAGGCAAGGTTCGGTTCTCATTCGTCTTCTTTTTCCCTCTATGACGATACGATGCCCTGTTGTGGTGGGAGACGTTACGCGAGGAGGGAAGGAAGAGAAAATCCTATTGATTCCCATTACGGAGAGCGGAGAAGTGACCGAAAAAGAGAAGAGGATGGACGATGAGCCCAATTACAGCAATTAATGGCCACCCAGCTTTCTCTTCGTTCTTCTCTCCATCTGAACGCTCCGAGCCGATACTCCATGTGTATTCCTCATTCACGGATCGATCGATGATCGAGAGAAGCGAAAAGCAGGTGCCGGACCTCCTGTCCCCCATGCCATGCATCCGATCCAATAAGACAGACGAATCACCCCCCAGTCAAACAAAGAAAGACGATGATAAGTGAGGACTCGGGCACGAGTGAGAGGAGATTCTTTATTACAATTTTTTTTAACTGGAAGGGGCAGGGTGTCCTCAATTTTCACATCTCTCACACCATCGCTCTCGATGTACACGGTAATGTATTCTGCTGAAGGGTCTCATCCAGTTTTTCTCGATTTCTGAAGGCCGAATCCAGACAGTGGGAGTTCATCTGTCTCTATGTTCTGAAATCTTCTTTTGAATCAAGAGATCCTTCCAAACTTTTTTTCGAGTGCGACCGAACCGCAAATGGATTGCCGCCTGACGTGGATCCGAGAACGAAGTAGGTTGGACAAGAGGATGGATGGGACGAGGGAGGTCACTACCATTTTTCCTCTTCTCTTCGTTCTAACTATCGGGTTCTGTTGTGGCATTCAGGATTCAATGAATCAGACGGATTTCGTCCGTCTCATCGCGACTATCTTCTCATTGGGGGGAGGGGACAGGACAAATGTTGATAAGCCATAGAGCTTTTCCCATGGAGAACTGTCTGGGAAATGAAAAATGAAAATGTTTCCGCTTGCAAACAACAGAGCTTTCGCTTTCCATTTCCAAGGGGAAAAGAGCAGGATCTTATCGACTGGGCCATTGAATCTCAGCAAATCTGCTGCTCTTTGCTCCAAAACATGTTTACTTTTTTTCACTCTGAACGACTGTTGACGTAATTAGAGATGAACGTCAGCGGGGAATGAACCACCCCTACCATCTGTGTCAACATAGTTTATAATTGAAGTTATATGCAAAAGAAGCACGCGAGGCAACAGATGCAACGGATCGATCATTCCCGGCAAGAAGTATAAGTAATTAGAGATAAAGGTAGACTAGAGGTGAGCAGTCACTTCCGGTTTTGATTTCCCAGTGAATCGGAGGTCGGACTGCGAAGCGGACACGCCTATCGCAAGAACAAAGCATTCCCGTGTATTAGCCCATGGATGTACCCTTGGAGAAGTTGCATGAACAAAGGGAAAAGAGAATTTGCCTCAGGAGTTCTGCCATTTTCTTCCCCCGTCACGCCAAGGAGCCAAATTAATAAATTCTTGCACTTGATCTTTTCTCTGCCTGTCAACAGAACACTACTTTTGGGTGGGTTCGCCTCCTCGGGTACACACATTTTTGTGTGGACTTAAGATTGATGAATATCTCGGGGATGGAACCTGGTTCAGCCCCCCCCCCCCTCCCATTTCCCCTTCCTATCTCCCGACGCAATTTTTCGATCTTTCATTCGGGATTTCTGCAATTTTAAAGAACCTCCAGCCGGCAGATTGTCTTCGAATTCGACTTCTTGCGGCGATCCACGATTAAAGGAGGGGTGTCTGACCTGTGCCGGTCCGGACATGAACCGGGGCTTTCGAGTGATGATCTTCTTCTTGGAGCCGGCGAGGATCCTGGCAATCCGATTGGTCTTGGTCAAGAGGGCGGCGTAGATGAGGGCGAAGCTGAGTCCGGGCAGAATTCGGGACAGAGTGCAACTGATCTGACTCGGTTTCGCCAGCATTGGGAATGTCGTCGCGTAGCACAGACACATTCCTGCCAAGGAACAGAAAATAAGCAATAAAAAATGTTACTCACCTGCTCATAAACTTACTAACGGACGGTTTTGTTTTCCAAACCCTCCACTTATGTAAGCAAAAATGTAAGCAGGAACATGAATGGAAAGGAAAGACGGTGTAGATGATTTGTAAACTCCATACCTACGAGGCCGCGCAGTAAGAGAAATCAAAACGAACTATTTGCCATTTAAATTTTTTTGGCTTTGCTTTCTATCCCTGAAAATCAGACTATAGACAGGATTTTGAAGAAAAAAGTAACAGGTGTGCATATTTGCAGCCATGAGTAGTTTCATTCTCGAAGTAGGTTCTCCAGTCAGTTAAGTAAATAGCTAAGTGCATATGTACCGTCATAAATTATACTGTACAGGCGGAAAAAAGAGCGGAATTTGAGCGGGAGTGAAGGACGAACGTCCTCAAGTAATTCTAGTGATCGAAGCAAAGGAGGGACGACCATCCAGTCCATCGTGTTCCTGTCAGCATCCCCATGTTAATTTCATTTTATACTAAACTAGTTGGTAGTTTGGTGAACACCACGTTCACTGTAGCACATTCATGAGGTGTGATAAAAACTTGGTGGATTTTGAACGATTGGTCTTCCCACAGACACGAAGAAAACATCCCAAATCACAAGTTACTCAAAAACCTTGAAACTCCTCTTCGGAGTTGATCCCTTCAGTTATTTATTTTAAGTCGTTGTCCTATTTTGGCCTTTTTAATAGGTTTTCTGGTGGATCAACTCATGACGCGTAGGTTAGCTCGGGATTTTTGAGAACATCAGGATCATATCTTTTTTAATATTTCTGATATTAGAAAATACATCATATTACGATGGGTGTTTTGAAAGTAATGCCCGATTGGGTATAACTTGTTTATTTCAAATCTTGCAAAAATAAAATTTAACACATTGACCAAGGTGACAGAGGAACAATTGTCTACTTTTCTATGCAATCTCTATTTGCAGCTATTCATTTGCGCCACCTCTCAACCAACGTTCAAATCCCTTTTTGTAAAAATCCAGGTTTTCTTCAACCACTCCTTTACAGTAGCCTAAATTTCATCCATACGAACATATCGTCTTCCATGCAAACCAACCTTCATTGGCCCAAACAAGTGAAAATCACTTGGGGAGTGGAATACGATTTAAAAAAAAAATTATGAAATTAAGGTTGCTGTAAAGGAGAGATTGGGGAAAATAGATGGAACGTTGGGTTAAGAGCTGACGCAAATGTGTAGCTGCAAATAGAGATTACATAGAAAAGTAGACAACTATTCCTCTATGCCACTTCTATCAATGTTTTAAATGTATCGACGTATCATATTATATTTTGGTAAGATTTGAAATAAATCCGTTACACTCAGACAGGCATTACTTTCCAAACACCAACCAAAATGGTATATTCAAGGTAGGAGTGCCTGATAAGCGCCATAAAGACTGTTTTATGGAATTGTGCCTTCATCTTGATGCAGGAATTGCTTCCCTAGCACACATCTCCCAAATCGCTGAAAACTGGGGGCAAACCCAATCCTTTGATCGGGATCAACCTTTGATCGAGATCAAAGCTTACACGTTCCGAACAGGTAAGCTTGCATAGCACCCTGTACTGCAGAAATCATGAGTTAAATGAAGAAAACATTGATTAAGTTCCCATTCTGTTCGAATCTCCGTGACAACCCCAATTAGGACAGTGATACTCAAACTTTTTTCGCCAGGACCGCATCCAGTCACAAACCATACGTTTGCCGTACTGGAAAAAAGGCTTTGGGTGGATTTTTGAACAGAGCATTATCCGATAATGCTCTTTATTTACTGGATTTATAATGCATTTTCTCTGAAATAAAGCTGCATTATCAGATAATGCTCTGTTCAAAAATTCACCCTTACTGATGCTAATAAGAAATTCCACTCAACTGGAAAATACGTTTTGCCTCGCGGCCACATGCAGAAATTAACACGAAGAAACCAAATCTGACGAAATTCAGGTTTCTGCTTACGAAGTCGATACGCTGAGGTCGATGCCGATTGTTAAATGTTTATTGGGTCTTAAAAGTTAACCCAGTCATTCGAGCATTCTCTTGAAATACTTAAGTCATCGAACTCGATATGGAATGAAGAATACTTTGAAGCTCAGTGAAGAAGGATAATAATGATACCGAGGAAGATGATGTAGGTGAGTTCACGAGTAGAGGATTTGACGACAGGGGTGTTGTTGTGGGCGACGAAGACGACAAGGGTGAAGAGGGTGGCCAGGAATCCGTTCCCACTCAGGATGAGGGCTACGATCGCCGGTCGGTTCCCCCATTCGATCGTCTCCTGTTCGATCGGCTCGCAGTCTGCCGCAATGTCATTAATCTCACTCTTTGCATATACCTGAATGAGTTTATCGCAGCAGCTGTGGCCACTTCGACAATATAAGGGCTCGTACACACTAGAGAGTTTTCTCCTTTAGATAATGAAAGATTATTGCAAAATAAATTTTCTTTTTATTTAAATAAGAGTTTCAAATACGTCTTCATCGAGTACGTTTTCTTTGCCAGTTGACTTGCAGAGAAGAGTCGCAAAATATACGTTCTCGTACGTCCAAGTGGCACGATAATTTTGCCGCTCGTTACTTTGATTTTTGCGAACTTGCTTTTAAGTTTTCTTATTAAAGTGATATTTTAGTTGCAGTGAGATTTGCGTTCGTCCATTATCTGCGATTTTTCATCTCTCCTCACTCTTGAACGAATTTCTGAACTTCAGGATCTTTGGGACTGAAGATTGGGCATCGTTCAGTAAGTGCTGATGACACCGCAGATTGATACAAAATTTTATCTTGCGGGAAGCTATTAAGCAACTCGCGGAAACCTCTTTTGAAAAGACCGTTGATGCACCGGATCACCTTATCGCTCTTCCGCGCTCTTCGACAGACAACCATCCTTTTGAAGCCATCTTGTATAACGGACGCGTCAAAAATACACGGCTGTCGGATAGGCTTTACATTACTTGGCTGACTCAGTCTGGCAGAACCTAATGAAAAAACTTCCCAAATAATTCTCTTTCAAGATATGCTTGTGACAAGCACTTACGAAAAACAGTACTGTTATAATGCAAAAGAATTTGTCTCGTTTCATTCCCCTAGTAGTACATAACATTGAAACAACATGGATTCAATGTTGACATGTAATGAATGTAACATTGAATCAATGTTGATTCAATGTTACGTGCTACTAGGGTCGCCACCCGGTGTACAAGGTGTGTTCAAAAAGTTTGAGGATTGATTTCTTCCTGAGGTTACTACGCAATGTATGGGCTATTGGGAGCTGTCTCCTTCAAAGAAGTTCCCTTGGGCGTGCATATTGTCCAGTGCTCCTGCAAGCTTCCGAAGCATTCTAATAGTCCTTTTTTTTGCAATCCCTTGAAGCGCTCTCGTCGCGTTGTTTCTGATCGACTTGATGTTTCCGAATCTCCTCCCCTTCAGCACTGATTTCAACTTGAGGAGGAGGAAGAGGTCATATGGAGCCGAATCAGGCGAGTAAGGCGGGTAGTCCAGAACAGGGAAGCCATTCTTCGCTAAGAACTGTCGCACGGAGAGGGCGGTGTGGTCTGGAACGTTGTCGTGTTGTAGAATCCACGTTTTCGCCTCCCACTTTACTCGCCTTTCCGGCAGACGGCGTCACGAAGGCGATTCTGGACACCAAGGTAGAAGGTCCGTTCACCGTTTGATCCTCCGGTACGAATTCGTGATGAGCCAGTCCCGCAGAGTCGATGAATACGATCAACATCACCTTCACCTGCGACATTTGCAGCTGCGCCTTTTGGGGTCTCAGCGAAATTGTCGTCTTCCATTGAGAACTCTGGCGTTTGGTTTCGGGGTCGTAACTGTAAACTCATGTTCAGCGCCCGTGATGATGTTGCGAAGCAGGTGAATATCATTTGCGGCACCGGTCAATGAATCCGGACAAATGCTGACCTTTTGCTGCTTCCGTTCGGCAATGAAAAGGCGCGGAGCAAACTTTGCGGGGACGCGCCGTATGCACAAATATTGGGTGAGGATGGCATGACAGGTGCCGATTGATACGTTCGTCTCATCTGCCACCTCTTTAGCTGTGATCTTCCTGACGGAGCGCTCCAGATTCTTCACACGCTCAACGCCTTCGTCGGTTCGTGATCTCGAAGGGCGTCTGAAGCGTGGGTCGACTTCCGTCGAGTCCCGGCCGTCACGGAAATGCCATACCACATATAAAAAAACCTTTGCTATCTGTTAAAATATACTCTCCATGAGCCGCTTGCAGCGTGTTGTAAGTCTCCGACTCTATTTTTCCGAGTTTGAAGCAAAACGTGATGCAAACTCGCTGCTCCTGAAAGTTGCCCATTCTGGGTTTCGACGATCAGCTCTGTCGCGTCCGACTGCCCAGGCTATATATGACGAAAATGCGGAGAGCCGTGGCCCTGTCACTCCTGGAGGTATTCAAGCAATCTATATAGTTTCTTGCTGCAGCGATGGATCGCGGATCCCATTCAAGATATAAGCATAAGAAAATCAATCCCCGTGCTTTTTCAATCACCTTGTATACTAAACGGTGAGCACGACTATCCCAGTATGGAGTAGTTGAGGAGAAGAAACCGGGATTTGGATAGAAGCTTCGCAGCGATGAATGTATCGACCTGCCAAAATTACTGTTGTATTATGAATTGGAAACGTTGTAGCATAATGGATGAGAGCTGAACAAACCGGTTAGATTGGGATTGGGCCAAAAGCCTTGGGGGCAGTCCTGACAGGTCTCCTCGTTGGAGAGGAACTGATACTCCAGGCATTTAACGCAGGACCAGCAGCACCGCTTTTCCTGTCCTCCAATCTGATAATTCTGCAATACACGCACATGAAGTAAGACAGTGGTCTGATAGGATAATCGATGAGAATATTTAAAATGGCATTCAATGCCTGCATGCCTTATGGGATGCATTATTTCTAAGCGAAATGAAGCCGCTTGAAGAAATTGTCATTAAGTGAATAGATCTGTATTCCTGTCGTCAAAATAATCTTTCCTTGAGGATGTAGTACTGGCAATTCCAGCTCATTGCTCGCTCTCTAACGAACGAAAGCGAAGCAACTGAAAAGTTCCAGAGGGACCTCCCCAAACCCATAAGGCACTCTTACATGCGAAACTACTGCTAAAGTTCTCTTTTGGAAACAGTACTTGCAGACAACTGGCCGGTGCAAGTGCAAGCAATTAATGGCTATTTCCAGCGACAGAATTGTAGGAAACGGCTACAGAAATGGATTTGCTACACCTTGATTAGGGAGAACGACTGAGTGCATGCAACTAGCTTCCGCAACTTCAGTAGTTTCTTCGTTTCAGGTGACCTACCGACTTCTATTGCCTCTAAAGGCCCTGTTACACTTGGCGAGTACTCGCTAGGGCCATTCACTTAGTGTAAAATCCCACTCGCTACCACTCGCTAACGAGTACTCGTTAGGGCCACTCGCTTAGTGTAACACCCCTTACTAGCGAATACTCGCTTGAAGTTTGAAATCTTTCAAACTCGTAGCGAGTGCAAGCAAGTGGGATTTTACACTAAGTGAATGCCTCTAGCGAGTACTCGCCAAGTGTAACAGGGCCTTAACTCAGACTCTCTCGGAATGGAGGTCAATTACACTGAAATAAACATTCTGACCAAAGATTTCTGTCATTTAGATTGTCTATGTGCTTATTCAATGGAGGTTTGCAATAATTTGATGGGGCTTCATAAGCTGGCTTTCCCAGCAGAATTCGACGTTTCAAGTGAACGTCACTTCCATCGAGCTAGCACTGATTGAGATTCTTGTTTTCATAAGCTCCCATTTCAAGAAGAGGGGAAAAGAAGCGAAGGGTATGTTTGGAGTCCAAAGTTTCTCTGCCCAGGGTCCACCGACTGTTTTTCTTCCTCCTCTCATCTGATTAAACGGAAGCCTGGATGAATTTCCACTCTCTTCTCCCGTCTCTCGTTCCCTCTAAGCCTACGTTTTCTTTCTGTTTTCACTGATTTCAGAAGCAGAGCAATGTTGAACTGGCTTAGAGAGAAAGAAACAGGCCAGATCGGCGGTAAGGTTTAAAAGGAGCAGCTTTCATCTAAAAAAAAGACAATGTCATGATTTTAGAAGGCGGCATGGAAAGAATTGTTGGTGCTCTTGGGGTAGTGTTGAAATTCAGAATCACGAGGATAGAGAACAGGGAGTCAGCGAAGCATGCAGCATAAGTATACTATTCACGGTGAAAGGGGAAGGAAGAGGAAATCACAGGCCTTTGACAACGGAACACTGAAATACGAGAACCTTCAACGATCGAAGATTTTTCAATATCCTCAAGGTCGAAAACATGAAAACATTCCGCAGCACCTGAACACTGAATACTAGGTGAAATGTGTGAATAAATAAGTTTGTTTGCTTGCAAAAACATCAGTGACCGAGCTGAAGCAAGCGCATTGTAATAAATTAGGTCCCAAGAAGTTAGAATGGGCACCTCTAATTGTGATCACATTGGTGCAAGGGTAGGGTTACCATATTTCGGAGAGCCAAAAGGAGGACACTTTCTGCCTTGTTAACGATCTAAGATCGTAGTAGCTCCTGGAATCAGTATCATCTCTTCAACGAAAATGGTTCGATAAATGTTTCACTCTAGAACTTTTATTTTTTACAGTGTACGCAACATTATTTTTTAATATTTAAACCAGATGTGAATATTGTCTCTTTAAAACTCATCAGTATGTAGTATACTATGAAGTAGAAATTATTTTAATTACTTTAAAAAATTTAAGTCACAGACCTTTTGTCAGGTATTTCTTGGCCACAACGTGCATAAATTTAAGCGAAAAAAAAACGCTCACAGAGTTTCACAGTGAAACAACACGTTCGCTGTCGAAGGCGCACATGCACCTCAAAGGCTGGTTTTGAGGAGCGCCGATGAAGTACCTAATCTTTATCGGCGATTTGCTGTTTCTAGTCTTCCGTTTCTTAAGGGGCATGGATGGGGCTCAAGAGGCTCGGCATTGGCAAATAGCATGAACCATGCGAATCAAGGTGGCACTCTAGTTTCTGCACAGCAACTTATATGAAGTATCTTACTTCGTTCACTAAGAACTTGAATGACCGATGAAAACATCGATGAAGCTGAGGAAATTTGAGATGTGAAACCTGCTGACTCTCACCACGGAATGAGAAGACGAGATGGTGACCATGAAGTCTCGAGGAGAGACTCCAAATGGAGGGAATAGCAAGCAGGAAACGTAACGGACGTGCCGTCACACCAATGTTGCCAGGTTCGAAAAAAGTTGTGAATATTGGTGACCGGAGGATGAATTCCGGACAAATTCAATACTTCTCAAAAATTTACCCGGACGGAAATGTGAAGGTAAAAAAAGAGGATATGTCCGGGAAAAACCGGGCGTATGGTAACCCTATGCAAGGGTATGTGATAACATTCAGTGGCTGATAATAATTGGCGATCAAATAAGTACTTTTCATTACCAATCGCCTTTACTGAAGGAAGTAGTCATGTGAAGTAGTCTTGGTGCGGATAGCGGCTACTGAGGCCCTCGATTTTGGTCCCCAGGCCGTGGTACAGATTTGAATTTTAATGAATGCCATTTCCAGCTCTTTCTTTACAGCCCCGAGGAGTCTTTTTCCTGAATTCCTGAGAGATTCCTCCTCCCCTTTTCCTTCTCTCCATTCGATTCGATAACTACTGAGACAGAGCGGCCACACTATACTTTATCGCAATATCCAACGTCTGTGAAACATTGGTGTTTCTGCTAGGTAAGCCAATCAGAGTGAATTTTCCCAATCTCATCCACTTAATCTTTACTTATGTTTACAGATGAGATTGGATGCCCTGACGCACCATAAAGCCAGCATATCTTGCAGTCATTTACAGGCCCGAAAAGAAATCCTTCATAAAGTGAATGGTTCCGGATCATTTAATTATCCACTTTATTCTACAGGAGAATCTCTCCTTCTGGAGGAGACAGGTTTTCTTGAGAGTAAAAGGCTTTCTGGGCTTTCTTGATACTCGAACTATCGTCTTCTGGACGTAAATTGTTTGCTTTCTAGGATTCTTCTCGTAGAAGGGAGAAATTGTTTCCGGTTGTGGTAATTTGAGCTAGAATTCCGAATAGATGAGTATGAAATTCCTGTCCTTTCCCTTCTCTTTTTTTGTTTTGGATACTCGAAGGTGAACTCCTGGAACGTAACTATAATTCGTCAGCCTAAGCATCATGCATCTCACGCACAGGGACTCTTAATTTACAAGTTTATGGAAATTATTTTTTACGAGTACCAAATTAAAATTATTATTCAAATGGCGACAGGAGCAAACAAAAGCGATGAAAACGCTAATCTCGAAACTCCACTTAACCTCGGAAATCAGTTTCGTCGGTTAAGGAATGCTGACGCATGATTAGGGTGATACGGTTAGCTTCACGATGAGGAAGACAAGCTGACGTTAGACTTATCGTAATGAAGGGAGAACTGTGCCGTACTTTGCGCTGACCCAAGGGGCACGGAGTCGAGCAGACAGATTTCACCTGTCCCGCGGAGGGATCAATGAGAGTGGCATTCAACGTCAGGTTCCCGTCGTCCCAAGTCCCGATCTGGACGTAGTCGTGCGTCCTGTTTTCGAGGTACCGGTAGTTCATGATATCGTACCTGCAAACAAGGCAAGGAAGGACCACGTTATTCTTAAAACTGGTGGAAGCATTATCCCTTAATGCTGGGGTCTGAAGGTACACGGATTCCGCATGACCCCTTGCTTCAGCGGAGGGATGAAGCTGATCCCGTTGTTACTCTTGCGAAGGTGACGAGGGATCAACGTGGAATCTCCACCGATCCCTCTCTCTACCTCGCAGAAGGTGACGTGGAACTAGAGCACCGGAATCCCTTCCTTCATAAGGTTTAGCTGCAATAGTTTTCGACGGCCTGTTTATTTTTAGTGTGATCCATCCCAATCGCGCAATACCGTCAACGATTCTCATACTTGGCCTTTTCTTACTGCAGGATGTTTATGAAGTCAAGGAACCCACATATTTGCTTACTTCTGACTTACCCTACAATATCGCAAATTTGCAGAAACAGCTCATACAGCATTTTAGCAATTGTTATGACTCCTTACGGAAGAACAAGTCTTTAACTACGTTGATGCTAATTTTTTTTTTTTAGCGTTTTGTGCTGTATGGCAAGTCAGTAGTGATTCAATACGTGAGTGTCATGATATTGCGAACAACTTAAGGTGCTCATCGAAAAACTTGGAATTCCTCAATAGAGACGTAAAAGTGATCAACGGAGGAGGCAGTCACTATCGAAATTTGCTGGAATCTCGATCATTCATCATCATAGTTTCTTGTCGTTTCCAAAGAATGAGCATTAAAGATCTCGCTTTCGCTTTCTATGTTGAATAGGAGTAATTTGAGAACATCATCGTGTCTGCTTCAAGATACATTAGAAAAAATGTCCAAGCCTGTTCCTCGAATTTATGGAGAACCTTCTAAGGTTCCCCATATCTCCTATAGATGCTATAGCTAAAAATTGCATGACGAATGAAAATGATGCAAAGAACAACTTTACCCCTTATTTCATGGGAGAGTTAGAAAGTGACACTAACTTCATTTCTCTACTAGAAAATTTACGGTACAAAACTTATGGCCACTTAAATAATGACCACCTGACCAGGAATCGGTATTTTTGACGGTATTCAAATTGCTGTACTTAAAAAAAAGCTTGACCTAGGAAGCTGAAAATTAGTGTGGGTTAGTTTCTCAATGAACCCTAAAATTCCACAAAATGTAATCAAAATCGAAGGGGGTCTAGTTAATTTTCATTCTTTTTATATCGACTTGACGTAGAATGACCCTAAGACCCTAGAAAACAGAAGAAAGAAGGGAAAGAAGTCTTTGAGATCGGAAAGAATAGCATGATAATCATCAGGGGTACGATCCTGCTGAAACCTTCAGGGTAGACAGGTCATTTTCGGAAATCCCACTTGAGCGATGATAAGCTAGAAGAAATGGATAGAGTGACGGTAAGGCTGTTGACCGATTGTGCCTACAGCTGCAGCTTATCTCACGACCACTGCAAATACATACTCCATTTCCTTGAGAAAGCTCACGGTTATGCTGCAAAATGCATCCAATTTAAAATGTACTGTACAGGGTGTTCCGAAAGTTTCTGACCCGCTAAAATGAAGATAGAGACGAGATTAACGATAATATATATTGATTTAATTACATTTCACATGGCCAAGAATACTCAAGGTACCAACTCCAATGCTATTAATACTTGATATTACTTCCGCGAACCTCCAGGAACCTCGCATCAGCGTCCCGAAGTTCTCAACCAACCGACGGATGATACTCGTAGCGTCGGTTTCTCACTCCACTTTAAACCCTTGTAATGACTGATGCCCGATTTATGAGGTGGGGCAGACACAGAGCACTCTGCTGGAATCTGTGCCATAGGTGTTTCGTGTGTTCAGGTCCGGACAGTTCCTTGGTAAATTTTTCTTGACCTGTATCATAGTCTCTTGAATGACGCGGAACACGAAGCCAGCAAGCTAGTGGCATGGGCCTCCATGCATCAGCACAACTTTCTTTGTCTGAGCAGATCGCCCAAGTCTTCATGTAGCCCGTGTAGATAAGCAGAATGTTTTCACTGTAGCTGGCATAGCATTTAGTCACACTTTGTGTGGAAGGACCAGTAACTTTCAGGACACCCCGTAGAAATGGAAAAGACGATGCTCAGGAGAGCAGGCAATTTCAAGACAATCACCATCGAGAAACTTTGCTCCAGTGGGAACTAGACCAAAATGCTGCAGATGCTTTTGATAAACAGTTCCTCAATTAATGGCTCAATCAATAAGTATCAATGAAGAGAATTTGCTCCGCCCGAAACAGACAGAGTCTCTTCGAAGGGACACCAGTCCCCATCCATTTCAATATCCGATTGCGTTTCAATAACTGATCATAGCCTTGCTTTGGTGGAACCAATTTGAATGGGATTACGAAAATCTGTTTTGAACACACCAATCTATGCTAAGTGCAAGTTTTGTGAAACTTGCTCCAGTGGAAACAGAGACATCACGTGCAGATTCAACGTCATTGGTCTTTTTTTGCCATACCCTACACAAACATTTTCTGAGGATTTTCGCTCTGATAAAATACTCCGGCTGCGGTGAAAGAGTGTACTATTCATCATCGCAGGGGGTATGGCTTCACTTTGGTACTTAGCCAGATACCAGGGTGGTGTTTGGAGGGTTGATATATATACTGTATGTGCTTTCAATTTCTTGCGTCAAATGTGACGAATTCTTTAAGATTTTATCTAATATTATTTGAAAGGTTCCTGATAACCTGATATGGATATAAAAAGTGTGCTTGAAATACATCGAAACAATGGACTCTCATAATAAAATTGAGCTTCTCGAAATATAACATGGAATAATTCATATTGAAATAACAAGCACTCATGCACTCAAAGCAGAGTGACTTCGGAACTCTGTGCCGAATGTAACCTACAGATTAGTCGATGACGACTTCCAACTCCTTCCTACTCTTATGTCCTTATCGAGATCAAGCGGAAGAGGCTCTATCCCGTTCCTTCTTTCCAGTATTGCGTGAATTCTCTCCAGTTCAGGAAACTTTCTTTGACAAAGATGTACGAAGGTAATATTGAGCATAGATTCTTCAACCGGTGGCTTTGCTCCGAAGAAAGAGATACACTTTGTTTTGAATTTGTGATGTTTTAGAGCAAAAGACTCAGAACAAAATCGATCATTTCAATGCATATCAAGATTGTTTCCGTTTCATGACGAGATATTTTCTGAGTCCATGTGAAATTTGTACCTGGCATAAATTCCACTGAGTTTACGTGAATTTCTATGAAATGAAGAGAATGATATTGAAGTTCCGTCAAGCGCCCCTTGAGTAAACCCCTCAAATAATATTTTTGTGATGTGAAAACTTTCCGCGGTTAAAGGAGATTCAGGATTAGAAAATTGTATTCCTCTGCTTTGTAGGTCGCATTCTTTTCGGGTCTTCTGCAATAATAGAATTGTAGGCGTGCAGCATTTTTGGATGAAAAATTACGGAATGAATTGCAGAGCCCTAAAATCTGGGGTTTTTACCATAGGACTGGACAGATTAGAGACGTGGATGCCATGGAATGGTCGCTCCTAATTGACGTACTTGCCACTAGTGCTGTTCACCTGTCTGTCATATTCCTTCTAGCTCTTTGCTGCTACATAGTAGATTGGTAGATGTTGGAGCCTCGAAGCTTCAGCACTGTGAATGAAACAAATCTTCACGGTGCGGCATAACTTTTAAGTGCAGGCCTTAGTCTGCTATAAGCTTTGCAACTAAAACTCCTTATTCAATGCACTTCTGACAGCAGTTTATAAAGGGTTGAAGAGAAGATGAAATTCGAGGGACAGACCTTCCTGGTGGATCACCTTTGGCGTCGAAGGTCACTTGCTCTTTCTCGTCTCCTTCTCCATACGTAAATGACACGTTCAGTAAAAAGTTCTGCGGATATTGAGAATATGGCCTTTCAATGGGACTCGAGAAAGGGGACGGCTGCTTAGAAAGGCGAACAAATGAGTGATCTTTGGAGGATTCGAAATATCGTAAAATCTAGTTCTTAGCTGTTAGATGTGGAAACCAAGCTGCAACTGATTATCTTTGCTGGGAACGTTCACTGCAACCATTTTTCATGGAGGATAGCAGTATTCATCATGAAAAGACTTCAGCCAAATTGAACAGTATATCATGACAACACAAAACATTACAATCGTGCAGTGGAATATAAGAAAGAAGTCTATTGACGATCGTGACGATTAGAATCAGAGCTAAAGGTGGCCAAGACTTTAAATTTAAGTAAGAACACCAGACGGATAGTTTTTTCTTGTGTGACAGATGCAGATGGTAGGAAATGTCGAGTCTCTTAATGACAAGTCCTAAAAGCGACTCCGCTTGTGACATTTCCGCATATAGGTCTGCCCCATTCCATCGCTTTTTCTTCGTATTCCGGATATTTTACTTTTAATGAGGCCATCCAACATTGTGTAAAAGGATCGACTGTGTTCTATGTATACTTTCAAAATAATGATTTTCTCATGATTGAAAAAATTATTTCGGAATATTCAACAAGAGAGAATTCTAAATATAATATAATCAAATAATCGCACTGCACAGAACGGTGATAATACTCCTAGAGATTGGAATTAATGGAGAGGAGTTCTCTCTTCGGTAACCCTACGCGGCCGAGAAATATATTTAAGAAAAATGTTTCATCTCCATTTCGAGGGAATTGTTTCGATACGTACTTATTCTGAGGTAGGTCTGAGGAGGTTCTTTTGCCACCGAAGTTGCAATCATGCTGCTAACACTTCTATATGAGGGTGCCATTGAACGAACTAAATATCCGAAGAGTCTTTCATCTATATGAGGCCTCTTATCAATGATATCATTTGCTCATTCTTGGCAGAAGCAATAGAATAGAGGCAGGAGGAGTGAAGCGTGGTATTGACCTTGTAAAGGGATCCGTTGAAGGGGAACATCTCCTGGCAGAGTCCGTCCCCTTTCCCCTTGCACAGGTGCCTTTGCATGTCGTGAAGCCCATGGGCCATGGCGTAGATGGCTTTGATAATGAACGCCATCTTCGTGTCCTGCTTGTACCTCCTGTCGTCAAGCTTTTCCCTTCCTTCAACAGGGAAAGTCAACGCATTCCACTTAAAGCATTGGGAATTATAAACCCAGTGCACCATAGTATTCGTAATACATCTAGTAACACTGAATGAAGGAACGGACGCACTAACGAAAGAAAGAAAAAAAGTTCGAATGCATGATTAATGAATAGTGGGATGAACGTTGAATGAAAAAGTGTAGGCTTACATGTAATACCTGTATGTACTGCCGCAGAATTCGGATAATATAAGGAGATTAAATTGTAAAATAATGAATGGATAGACAGTAAGCAATTTTTTTGTATATATTACCTGACTTAAAACTACTAAGAAACACTGAAACTAATTGTTGTTTGCCTTTGTGGTTGTGTGGGGTACATGACCTCTAAAATAACTTTGAAATGATGTCACAAGTAATGTTGTTCTGGAAAGGAAACAAGAGAGCTGAGCAAATAAGCACAAGGGTGCGAGATTTCTGAAGCGTTTCAATCGATCTAAGAGCAATATAATAGTGGTAATAACGGCAGAATTAATTCAGAGAATACAGTGAGTAATGGTCAGAAGTTCATGTAATAATTCATAATGATCTGCAGTAACGATCTGAACGTGTGGAATTGATATTCCTTGCTGAAAAGAACTCAGCAGCCCTATTTCGCCAAGACCATCCAGATCGCTCATTACCTTCCCTGACAATGGTTACGAAATTAGTGGAGCGTTTCAAGGACACCCCAATGTTGCTGACAGGCCACGTACTGGACCCCATACAGTTCATACAGTGGCACATGACGTATCCGTCCTCAGCATCCTCAAAGTTTACCAATTTCACCTGTGCAAAACGCAGTGCCACTGGGAGGTAATGTAAGTTAACTCGCCCAGCCTGAGTGAATTTTGCGAAGTGATGATGGAAATGGTAGCAATGATCCGACGATTCTGATGCGGATTTACTGGGTTACTACTTGCAAGTCAACGGCGCCCACTTCAAACTGATCTGAATGACAAGTGACCAGAGTACTAAACAACAAATGATTTTAGCATATATGTCATATGAGGTCAAATGGAACAAGAATACAGGGTGTTTCTGTATAAAGCCCGAAATTGTTTTTCGAATAACTTTTTTTGTACAGCACCGTTTCATTTCGTGAAGTTCTCACTCGAAAGAGCAGGGCTTCCCATTTTATATGCAATTTGAACTCATCAGTTCATATAGTACGAATACAGATACGATAGATGGCGTAAACACCACTTATTTCACTCTTTTTTTTGAGAAAAATTGAACTTTCTATAAGCTTGAATGCAACACAGGCAACACGAGTGGAAGTTATTTGTTGCTAAGTTCAACATGTCCATTATTTTGGATGCACTTGACCAGCCTTCGGCAGTGGGCAACAATGGTGTTCTCGCGCATATTTGGCGTCACCTCTGCGAATGCGTTGACAATGCGTCGTTTTAGCTCGAGCTGGACGATCGTCCAGGCGGCTGGGATTGGGTCTATTCGTCGAAAAATACAACGTTGAAGTTCGTAAATCGTCGAATAGGCTGCCCCGTCGAATCCGCCAAATTGTCGAAACTCGATTCGTCGAACTGCCCAATCGTCGACAAGGAAAAGCATTTTACTGAAGCGAGGAACCGTGCAAGCGATCTTTCCATGCGCGCTGAGATAAAATTCACTAGGGGGAATATGTAGGGACCTGGAAGGGTGGAAGATCGTGGTGTCATGGGGTTAACCTTGGAGAGTTCACCCCTTTGAGTCACGTACCCAGCCCTAGATGGTTCACCCCTTTCACCCCTCCATATCATCTCCTAATCGGACCACCCCTTAAATAAGCTGTTGTTCTTCCATTTGAGGTCGTGGACGCTGGAGCTTCAGAGCCGTCCTTTCTCAAGCCACGGATTAGCAGTGTCTTCTTCCCCTTCCTTCTAAAGTCACAGTCATACGTTGAAGAAGGAATTCATATTGAATATTATTAGAATATATTAGAATATTATTACAGAGCATTATACACAATAGATGGCAGGCGGCCGAGTGGCAGGCCTCGACTCCAGCCTACCTTCCTCCCAAACTGTGGAACTTACGTCGGAACCGAGTACTCCATGATCAACCCCGTACAACGGACAGAGTCGAAGTTTGGCATCGCCGCTTGTCACCCGTTATTAGAACTCCGCATTCCAACATTTGGACCTTCATGTGCTTTATCCGCAAGGAACAAGCGAAAACCAACGTTCAAGTGGCAAAACAAAAGAATGGTCATCTACTGCCAAAAATAATGAAAAAAGAGAGAAATCGATAGTGACCAACGCATTAAGCATACTGTAAAGAACTACGGTTCCAAGGGTAAACGACCACTTTTCTTTCTGATTTACATTAACGACTTAGTTCAAGGCCTCATGTGATTCTCTACATTTGTCACAATAACGATAGGTCTCCGAAGGCCTTCGGCGAGGATCAGAGGTAATTAGGGAGAGCTGAATGAGGAGAGACTCTGGAATGACCTCACATGAGAAACTCAAGTTCTCCGAGCGTGCGCAGGCGGCAGTGGATAAATTCAGCAGGACTTTAGCCACAATCTTTCTCCTTTGCCAATAAGCGCTTACCCGTTATTCTTCCACTCCATTCAACACATCCGAGGACCAATTTAGAGCACTTTGTTCAATTCTCAGGGCTTGCACATAAAAGTGAACTAGCGGTGTCTGAAAGGGTTCAGAGGTGAACTGTAAAAATAATAAAGTGCCAAAATAAAGTGCGCACGAGGAGAAGTATGTATATTTATCAACTTTGCGGTTCTACTCACTCTCGAGGTTAACGAAGGGGGACTTCATCCAGGTATTACAAGCCATTAAGGGAATCGATAAGGTGGAATGTATCGGAATTTTCCTAACTCGATGGTAGCAGCAGAACGAAAGGGTACCAGTCGAAGTTGAGTAAACCAGAAATGAGTCTCAGGTCACGGAATGACTTATTTACTTGCAAGGCTGTGAATGCTTGGATTTCGTTAGATGGTGTTGAAGTGGCTGCTCCTTCCGTGAGTAACTATACAGGTAGAGGAGGTTAGATGCTTTCATGGATAAAACAAGAGGGAGCAAGGTGACTAGAAGTAACAAGCCAGAAGGTCAATATGCTTCCAAAAAAATATCAATCCCTTTGGCGTCGGGGGAGGCGGCGGTTAACCATCCCCACAGGCGGCTAAATCGACCCCTCTGGATTTGCAAAATAGTTATTGGAATTACTAGTATATACATTGAAGTTGACGCATGCAAAATATTAGGACTCTATTCATCATAGTTTGGCCGCAGTGGAATATCAAAGGTCGATGTCCAGGTCAGTCTTGCGATGCAAGTTATTCCAATGTAAGGTTCCTTGGGTTCGAATCCGGTTAATTTAAAATGGTTGTTTTGACATTTATCACTAAAGAGGATTGTTATCTTATCACCAAGATCGCTTTTAATTATATATATACACATTTGAGAAAGGTACCCTTTGGGCGGGGGAATGCAAGAGGTGCTAGAAACCTCCAAACAAAATTTCGGGGAAATCCCTTATACGCGACGGATTTAATCAAACTTGCGTAAATATATGTCAACCACGCTAACATAGGTTAACGTGTATATGCGGCAACCGACGTTTAAGGGTAAAGTAAGGCATATCGTAGTGCTTACGAAAACTTTCGACCTTAACACGAAAAGTGATAATGGACTTGAATGCCTTTCCACGTCCCTTCTCATACTATACCGAGTAGAATCTTATCCGCTGGATGCCGAATTGAGAGTGGAAATTCACCAGCTGTACGACTAACATGGATCCCCTATTTGAGCATCCGAATCGATAAAAAAAATCAACTCGGGGAATATCAATTCTCCAGATCCGCATCACTTCACTAATTTGAAACCGTATTTTCCTTATTGCGGCATATAATCTTATAATTGAAGTGAAGTGCATGGATGCAACCCAAGGCTATCCCTCGCGGGGGATTTTATGAGGCTACAAAAGTATTGAGGCATTCCAGCTCATATGATCAAATTTTGGTTGCACTTCCGATGGAAATTTCCTCGAATAGGTTTCCTGCATGTTTTTTTGTACTACCAGCAGTTAACAGCCTAATCTTTTTTCTGGTTTCACTTATACAAGTTAGTACTAAATGGTACTGCTGAACCCGGGAAAATGAGTAAACAATCAACTCCAGGCAGCAGGGACAACTTTTCTTATGAGTGTATACATTGCCTGTAGCTGGTAAGAAAGGAAATGACAAGAAGTCTGTAAGTTTTTGTATTTTAATTTGCTGGTGGGTAAAAATGAAGTGAGAAATGAAACTAAAGGTCACATATCAAGTACGTCACTGCTGAAATATGGTTGAGATCGATTGCAATTGGAAAATCGAGGGAGGGGGAACATTTCAAAAGAAAAAAAAGATAAGCTCACAGGTACAAATCAAGGGATGAAAACTCAAAGCAACAGCATGAATTTCGGTAGAAAGAAAGAATTTTGGGAGAGCTTTCATTAGTCACTAGTTTCAAGTTTGTATTCTGTTTTAAATGGAAAATATGAACTATCATGGTGAATGAAATTTGCCAAAATTTGGACTTTTCAAGTTCAGTTTGCTGTTTGTCTCAGGCAAAGTCACAAGTTGAAGAGTAGCTCATTACATTATTGGCTGGTATTTTAAGGTTTCAAAAGCTCATTGTGATTCGATGTTTTCCACTACCCAAAATTTTAATGTAAATTTTTACTCTTTTCACATCTGTGGAAATTATATTCCTTTCCACAAAAAAAAGTAAGAAAAAAATTAATGGAAAAAAATCTGGTTCAGTTTTATCCCAGCATTATTTTGAGCCTAAAACATTTTACTGGCTTAATGAAGGTCGAAAATTGCCGTTTGATCCGAAGGGGTCGGGGTCAGGGGGGGCGGCTCCGGGGGGGGGGGGGGGCTCGGGGTCCCAAAAAGGGTGTTCCAGGCCAGCTAGATTTCTCAAGCATTGCAGTGAATGATTGAGACACTTTAGAATTTAGAATTTTAGAATTTAGAATTTAGAATT